GCCTCGACGAACCCACACAAGGTACGTTCCAGCAGTCTTGGCGATGGATTTCAAACAGGAGACAAGAAGAAGGGATGGCGAGTGCCCACTGGATAGGGGGCTACAGCCTGCAACACTGTGTATGTCAGCACGGCGATGCTCTGGTCGTGCTTGAGTGGTTGAAGCTGAGTGGTTTCAGGTTGAAAAGGGCGCTGTTTTCAACGTTGACTGGACAGCCAACGCGTTTACGGTCGCTGTTGGACAGGAGACAGCGGGACTTTTGATGCGCTACGGGAAGTATGCTAAACCGGTGATGTAATGAGTTGTCACAGCGTCCTAGCGTTTCCTCCGGCGTGGAGGGGACGGCTGGGACGAGGCCCGGACGGAGGCGCACATCGAATGCATGAATTTCGAAGGGGAAAACGATCAGTGACACAACAACACGGCAGTGGTTGGCGGTGGCTGTGCTACGGCGGATCTGGCAGGCCTGGCGAATAAGCTTTTGCGAAAACGCCCGTCGAGATCGACGTCGATCAACGTGCAGTGTGAGTGAGGCACAAGCACGGCCAACACCAGAAGCCATATCCTGCAAGATGCTCCAGAGAAGGATATGAAGATGTGAAGGGGTGTGTGTGGACGGCAACGTTGCTTGTTGGGGGTGCTCAAATTGTTGTCTTGGTGCGAAGGCATTGTTTGTCTCACTGCCTCCCGTCATGCGCTTGAGGTAGATGTGTTAGAAGTGGCAGTGGCAAAGTGGCTGGACATGTGACAGGTTGGGAGCTACAAGCGTGAGCGTGAATCAGATGGAAGGAGAGGGCCAGGGATATTGCCCAAATAGGCAGTAGTCCAGGACGATTCTCGAACGATCCAGATACGAACACAGATGATGGCAGGAGCGACACAAAGAACGGGCCCATTTTGACTCATGAGGAAAGGAGGTGAGGGGACGCCGGAGTGGACGAACACGAGAGGCAAGAGCCATATGCGTCGCTTCCTTTTCCCCTGCTTTGTTCCTCTTCCTATTTTTTCTCGTCAGTTGTGCTAGGAAACCAGACTTCGTCAACCAAAGCCATCGCAAATGCTAGAAAGAGCATCACTCGAAAACGAAGAAAACCGAAAATCACACCAAAAAACCGCCACTCTAAATATAGACCCAGAGCTACCGCACGTTCGGCCGTTTTGGCCTAGACCCTGGGGCGCTGCCACGCCGGCTTTGGCCGTTTTACAGCCTTAATCTTTTTCTTTCTTTTTTTTTTTTGTCTTTTTCACGTCTTTGCCCACTTTCTTTCTTTGTTCTCCTCACTCTTATGACGTGAGCCGCCGGTAGCGGCCGAAGCGCTTGTCTCGTCTCGACATTCTCGTTTCTACCATCGTCGCCACGTCAAAAGGCAGAGTGGGACATGAGCGAAGGGAAGAGAACGGCCGAGACAAGATGCCGCCATCCTACCAAATCGCATACCGCCGTGTCGTGGGGGCTGGCTGCTGACGGCCAGCTGCATACGACGTTCTAGGAGAGTAAGATTGGCTGGATTTCTGCAAAGCTCTGCAAGAATCTCTCTCTGCCTTTTGCGTTGGCTATGCTGCGTTGCATAGCGACTTCGCATCTGACCCAGGTCATAAAAGAGTGAGGTTGGGTAGCAGGATCGGGGATCCTGGTGCAAAATATAAACGAGTACCTGAAAGGTTGACGGAAAAGAACGAGAAGAATTAAGTTTAACGTATGATGTACGTCGTGCTATTGCTAACTGATAGCTTAGACAAAGTCGACGAGGCTACATCCACGCAAGCACAAACACATTACACACCCACACATCACCCGTTGGCGATGTCTACGTGTATGCTAAAGTGCCTGCTGCCCTGGACATTGCGTGTCATCTCGTGTGCTTGCCTACCATGTGGCATGGCCGTGTGACATGTTATCCCACGAGCTCTGTGATCTGTGCCCAGTCCTCTGGTGCGTTTGTGGAGAGGTGATGATGCGACGATGCGATATCGCGACAACAATTTTACCCAAGTACATCCTCGTGCACTGTGGACGGATCTCACGCAACACGGATTTAAGCCATTGTGCAGGATCTTCTGGCATCTGGGTAGTCTGGCAATTTGCTCGAGTTGTTTCATCGATATGGCAAGCTCCCAGAGCGTGCTCTCCTTTGGTCGCCCTTCTTGCTCACCTTGAGTTTTCCGCCGAACCATTTGTTTTCTCGGATAAGCTGACTTGTTGACCTCTTGTCTGCTCGTATTCTAGTGAGACGCGAACAGATGCATGCTCGACAACACGCCGAAGCACACACGGCTGACGATATACGGGCCATGCGCCTCTTTTGGAGTGCGAGCTTACGAAGATCGTCAATTTGAAAAAAGGGCTTGAACCTGAGACACGGAGGAAACATGTGGGAGCAGAGTTCTCGGATCCTACGAGCCGAGACGGAAGACGGGACCCGACATATCCTTTCTTCGAAGCCGGCTTCTTGCACGGAGGCTGCCACGCCTGCAATCAAGCTCCGTCTTCCACATCTGCCCTGCCAACTCGGACAGCCTTGGCGTGCGTTCCCGGCTCCGGATCGGTCGGGTCGAGGCCTTGAGCTGATCTCCAAGACGTCGTGTGTGCAGGAGGGGCAGCGATCGTATTTTTGTGTATGTAGAGAGTCTCTACGACGTACATGTGCCCTTGAACAGGATGTCTGCTCGTGTTGCAATGAGAGGTCTTGGTTTGCATCGCTCTCAATGTAAGAGCCATCGCACAGTCACACCGTCAAACTGTGCAAGACGGTACCCGGTCGGAAGAGATTTTGTTCGCTCATCCCCTCTCTCTCTTGGTGACCGACCATAACGCGAGCCAGTCGTTGCCGAGCATGTCTTCCAACGGCGTGTCGAGCTCGTATGTCTGTTTCCTGCGAGAATGGGACTGCAGCAGCCGTTGACCGTCGATTGGGTCTTCTCCCATGCTTTGTCCTCCTCCCGAGTGCTCCGTACCCCTTATCCGGGTCTCCGCATTATCCCGTATCACTGCACGTCGCCACCCGATGATCCACCGGGACAACATTTATGCCTCAGTCTTCCATAACGGTTCCGCGACGAACTCTCCCACGTCCGTGTATTTGTGTATAGGCGCAGGTTCCTGGAGAGGCTGTCTGTGCGAGCCCAGCCCCTGCTGTACGTTGTCAATGAAGCCCGAGAGAAACCGAAAGATCAAAGGCTGTTGTCATCGAGATTCCTCCAATCGCTTGATTTTAAAATGCAAAGCTTGTGGAATGGGGCTCGGGGATCGACTACCGAGAGCACATCCATGGTCTATTTGAACAACGCGACGTCCATCCATCGGGTTTCTCTTTCTAGCCTAGCGGGCTGGTTGGATCTCTTCTTGGTGGCGGCCAATGCCCAGCGCCTTTTTTCCCCCGCAAAAACAGCGGCCTTGCAGCACACGACCGAGACGAAAGCCCACTAACAGCGCATTTTCCGCAAGATGCCTTCCTTATTTGTTTCTAGCGCCACATCTCTATGAAGAACGACGTCAGAGTTAAAAAGTTGCGCCAAAGGAGTTCAAATCCAAAAACAAAGACCAAAAGAGTGAGATTTCCCCAGGGCACAGTAGGCGACTACAAACTTTTCTGGGAAAACGCAGACGAGTGACAAATTAGGGAGAAGAGAGACAGAAAGAAGGAAAGAAAAAAGGAAAGCAATGCGACGTCCTAGGGACAAAAGAACCGACGATCGCAAGATCTCACGGACTGGTCGTTTCCTCCAGGCCTTGTCACCATAGAGCAGGTCATCGCCAAATATGTGTCTCGCACACGGGCAGACGGGGGTACTCCGTACGTCGTGATTCGTACATGTACGCCGTACTCCGCGCTCGACCAGTCTTGTCTCCGCCCTTGGACGATCTCTGTTGTCCCCGCTGGGGTGAGGGGGACCAAGATGAAAAACAAGTAAACGGCGTGTCGATCGTTGCTCCATATGATCGTTATGTCCCGCATGTCTGCTGAAGTTTCTTCTGTTCCCACGTTCGCCTCCAGTCACCTCTATCTTCCTCCTCTCCTCTGTCCTCTCCCCGTGCAACCCTTTGATAGCCTTCCATATTCGTCATGAAGTGGGTGATTTTTCCTTTTTCCTGCGGGGATGTAACCTGCCCTCCACAAGTCGTGATTACCTGGTACTGAGCGGCATCTCGCAGAGATGTGCCATTATGCCCACGGCATGGTCACGTAGTAGATGCCACCCTTTCGTCATTTATCTCCTTCGTTCCTTCCTAAATTTCCCGCAGCTGCCAACCGTTGTCAGACCGCCGGTCGCTCTTTCCTCGCTCTTGATCGGCTCTCCAGCCCCCGTGATCTGTAGTTTTTCTTCTTCTCTGGGACATCTCCAGATTCCCCATTCCCTCTCCGCATCGACACTCACCGTCTCCGTTGTCCCCATCTGCAGCCTGTCTAGTCCCCGCTGGCGTACTTTTGTGACCTCCGCTCTTCGACTTTTCAGCCCCTCCCTCCCCTGCCACGCACGCCCACATACTCCGTAACGTTTTGTCCTCCTCGTTCCTGATCTGCACAAAGGACCAACAAATCGCCGTCCGTGAGATGGACGATGCCATGGCGTTGCACCCACAGTCTGTCGCCCTTTGATTGTTATAACAGAGTCCCCTCCCCCGAACCCTTTTCGTGCTTGAGCTCTGCATCCTTGGCACGCAAGGCAGGTCTGGAGATCAGAAGACTGTTGCACTGCGATATTTAGTTTCAACTTTCCCTTTTCCCAGTTCTTTTTCTCGTTCTCTTTTCTCTGGTCTCCTTTCTCGTCCCCTTTCTCGTCTCCTTTTTGTATTTTCTCTTTGGTCGTCCTCTCTTCCACTTCTTGCTCGTTACATCCGGCACTGCTTCTTTTGGCCGACGGTCTTTCAAATAAGCTTTTACCCCAAGCTTACTGCAGTCGCCAAGCTCGCCAAGCCCGGCACTCTCTCCAATCTAGGTACCCTTCTCGCCTCAACCCCTGCCGCCACATCGCTGCCACTGCCAAATACCGCGGCCACAATGCAGAAGCCGGCCGACGCTCAAATCGAGAACGGCGCCGATGGCGAGCGCGTCACGACGGCCGTAGACGGCCCCGCTGCCCCCGTCGTCCCCGAAGGCTACCGCGCTGTCGATATCGACCCAGCCACCGAGAAGCGACTGCTGCGCAAAATTGACAGCGTGCTTGTCACATTGGTCTTCGTCAGCTACCTGCTCGCCTTCCTCGACCGCTCCAACATTGGCAACGCCCAGACGGCCGGCATGGGCAAAGCCCTGGGCTTCGACGACGCACAGTACCAGTGGCTGCTGACCATCTTCTATATCCCCTACATCATCTTCGAGTGGGCCGCCATCTTTTGGAAGATCTTCCCGCCGCACATTTGGGCCGGCGTCACCGTCCTCGCCTGGGGCATCGCCTCCACCTTGCAGGCCACCGCCTTCAACTGGGCCGGCCTCATGGTCTGCCGCTGGTTCCTCGCCATGGCCGAGGCCGCCTTCAGCCCCGGCGTGCCCTACCTGCTCTCCTTCTTCTACAAGAGAAACGAGCTCGGCTTCCGCTGTGGCATCTTCTTGTCGGCCGCGCCGCTGGCCACCACCTTTGCCGGCGCCCTCGCCTACGGCATCACCTCCGGCCACTCGTCGCTGGCCAACTGGCGCCTGCTGTTTTTGGTCGAGGGTCTGCCCACCATTGTCATGGCCGTTGTCATTTTCTTCACCTTGCCCGACTCCCCCGACACCGCCCGCTTTTTAACCGAAGAAGAGCGCGAGGTCGCCCGCGCCCGCACCATCCTGCAGACGGGCCAGGAGGGCACGGAGCGTCTTGGCATGAGCGGCATCAGCGTTCGCGCCATCCTTGATACCTTCCGCCAGCCGCAGACTCTCGTTATGCCCTTGATGGTGAGTTCCAGCCTTGTCCTCTTCACAGTTTTTCTTTTCTTTTCTTTTTTTTATTTGGTCTGCTGACACCTCTCCCCAGTACTTCTCCTGCAACGTTTCCTTTGCGTCGCTGCCCGTCTTCCTTCCCGCCATCCTGACCACCATGGGCTTCACCAGCATCGACGCCCAGGGGCTCACCGCACCGCCCTATTTCCTCTCGTTCCTGGTCTGCATCGGAACCACCTACCTGGCCGACCGCGTTGGCCAGCGCGGCCTCATCATTGCTGCTCTCTCCATCATGGGTGGCGTCGGCTATATCTTGCTCGCCACCGTCCACATCGTCGCCGTTCGCTATCTGGGCGTCTTTTTGGCCGCTGCCGGCGTCTTCCCCGCCATTGCCAACATCTTGCCGTGGGTCCTCAACAACCAGGGCACCGACACCAAGCGCGGCGTCGGCATCGCCATGCTCAACATGATTGGCCAGTGCGGCCCCATCCTGGGCACCCGCATCTTCCCTGTCAAGGAGCAGCCGTACTATGTCAAGGGCATGGCCATCTGCGCCGCCTTTATGTTCTTCAACGCCTTCCTCGCCCTCTGCCTGCGCCAATACTTTGCCGCCCAGAACCGCAAGCTGGAGCGCGCCGAGGCTGCGTCCGCTGAGGCTGTCCAGCAGGAGCAGACGGGCCACCCCGAGAAGGGCAATGCTCTGGCCCATGTTCAGACCGAGATTGAAGGCACGTTCGGTTACCGCTACTTCCTGTGAGCTGAGCAGCGAGAGGTTCGGGTTAGTAGCAAGATTTGCAGTGCATTAAGGCGAAGACAAAGAAAGAAGCGGATATACAAAACAAGTTTTTATAGCTTTAAAGCAGAAAGACGGAAGGACGCGAAAGAATATACGTGCGAATCAATAAACAATAAATTATTGCAGGAGAAGAGCCACACTGATAACCAGATATTAAGGATGTCAAAAAGGCACGAACAACAATGGACGGAATGGCTGCCAAATACAAACGGCAACCAAAAAGAGAAAAGAAAAGAAAAAAACAAAACCTCAATAGATAATGTCCCGCACGTGTAGCATCACACTCGTGTGGTGGCCATATTGAGGAAACGCACTGTCTTGCGCTGCTGCATCCACCAGCAGTCGCTCCTCGGATGCCGCCATCTTGGCCAGTTCCCACCACGCCGGATAGAACCCGCACTGGCCCCAGCCAAGCACCCCCACAATCTCGGGTGTACCGCCCCCGGACGGTCCCGTCCTGCGAACAAGAAAGTTGCCCAGGCTGAGGTTGGCATGTTGCAGGGGATAGGTTCCTCCCGAACTTGTGGAGACCGTGGACAGCTGGTCGATCATGCGGCTGACAAGATCGATGCGGGCAGCGCCTGTGCCCCGGCGTTGGAGTGCCACGCCGACCGAAGCAATAAAATGTGCTTCGGTGGCAAACGGCCCACGCTCCATGGGTTGCCAGATGTGGTCAAACAGCTCGTCCTGGACGCCAGTGGGCAGGTCGCCTCCAGCTCCATGAAAAGTGCATCGAGCACTCCAGGCTTCATCAATGACGTTGTCGCAGTTCTTGGCATCGGTGTCGTCCGAGATCTGGCAAAAGTCGACTGCTTGTATACACCGCCCAGTTATTTTGAGAAGAGCCCGACGCAGCGTCTGCACCGAGTCCACAAACATCTGCGTCTCGCCGGTACTCCACTCGCAAGCCGCCTCATCCGCTCCAATGCCATCGATGTACTCCATCAGCATACAAAAGCGGTGGCTCCCAGCAGCACTGCGAAGCTGCCGTACCCCGTACACGCGCGGAACCGGTATGCTTGGAATGGTCTGCCGGATGTAGGCGAGTATGCGTGCCTCGTAAAAAATGCTCCGGTGCGGCGATACTTTGATCACGCGATTGCTGCCAAATCTGTAGCTGATGCACTGTCGCCGTCCAGATGCACCAGGGAGCTCCTCGAGGGCCTCTATATCGGACAACGTAATATGTTCGAAATTGGTCGTCGGTGTTGGAGTCACGCTCCCTTCCCTGGACATATTGCTGAGATCTGTTATGGTCGTGCAGGCAGAGCCATTCAAGGAAAGCATAACCTGGAAGTCGAGATGTGGAAGCCATGTGCCACGCGGTGTATGTTCTGCAGAAGTTGTGCCACATATGGATGCATTGCGAGTGTCGTTGTCGTCTGAGAGGTGCCCATTTCGATTATACAGTATAGAGGTGCTTGTTGCATAGGATGCGGACGACGATGGCGAAGAATGAGGAGAAGATGCAAACTCAGGTGTCATGGGTGGAGATGCCGGCGAGAACGAAGAATCACCGACAGCCCAGCTGTCATCCGTTAGAACATTTTGTGATAAATGCATTTCCCGTACCAATCGTGTCGTGTATGTTGTCGGCTTCCTGGTACTTATGCGGCTTAGCATGAACTAGGGCGTGCGAGGACGATTTCCAGAGCAAATAAAACAAAGGAAACCTTCTCTGAGATTGTGAATATAAGCATAAACAGTTGGGAGGGAGACGGAAGAAAAAGAAGAATCGCATCGTACGTTCTGCCCCTTCCATCTTTAAGTACTTTTCGTGTCCTATACTCTCACGTCCGTTTTCTTTTCCCCATTCGTATCAGTCCCCTTTCTGGAGCCAACATGCACTGCAGCGAGGGCTACCACGCGGCTGAAGACACGGCACCAGGACACCAACAAAGAGACACACGAACGAGACATTCGTAGCGATACTCATCTGCAAGGAACTGAGAAGTGGCGGCTATGCTGCAAAGCCAATCAAAGTCATTTCCACGTTTTTTGAGTGAAGGTAGCAAACACACTTCGCGACGTGTGACGGCCCAAAACGGCCGGTTCAGGAAAAGTGAGAAAATGTGGTGGTAGTAATGAAGGTCCGCAGTACAGCCGCGAAGCATTGGTACTTTGCATGCTGGATAAGCATAAAGCAACACCAACCCATGAGCCCGGTCGATGGCACAAAATAGGTTGTTTATGGTAAATATGTATTAGCCGGCCGCTTGCTAATGGCCTTCTCTACCCTCTACCTACGACATGAAGTCGTAGCAAGTAAGCACGTGAGAGGGTCGTTTTCGATACGAGAGCAGTTCTAAGGACCATGCAGCCATGTAATTTCGAAGGATGGGACCGTTTTGAGCAGCAAAACGCCCGTGTCGTGCTTCTGGTTTGTTGCTCCTCCGGAGACCTGAGGTTCCGAGTTTAGCTTCACATATCCCACGTGGTTATAAGACCTCGTGGTTTCTTCGGAAAGGCTTGCCTTGATGGATGGAACACTGAGATCTGACAATTTCGATTAGCCTAATGGACCAAAAGCTTCTATTGTATATGCTGGGTTAGAGACGTTGATGAGTGGAGCAAGGAACAATATTTTGCTTGACAGTTCCAACATGTATGGATGGTATGACAACATCTCGGACCGGATTATAGTGAGGGCAGTCTGAGAGCCGTCAGCCCGTTCACTGAGAAGAAAGCCGTTGTCGTGTTTCTGATACAAGAAGCGGACCCTGGCCGGTTACTTCTATTCATGGCCGCACGTTATGGATCTTGCGGGTAATCGGCCCTGAGGCGGTATCCCATCGTGACCGACGGCTTTTAAGTGAGCGCGACCGACATCATGGTGATCTTGCTTGATGGAGACGATATTTCACGTCCGCTTTGTTTCGTCTCTTTTGAAATAAAGAAATATCGTGGAGCCGCCAGCAGGGAGCATCGTGCGAACAACAGGATCTCACAGGATCTCGCGGGATCCCATAGGATCCGCATAATATGAAGAAATGGCCTGGAGGCAGGGCGACCCGTGGAGGGTGCAATAAGGGGCCAAGCCGCCGGGATTGAATGCGCCTGAAAAGATGGGATGAAACTTGAGTCGGGCATTAGATACAGATATTCGAATCTGCGGCCTGTTGTCAGCAGGCGTCGGAGACCGGAGTCATGGATTCGGTGACCTGCAACGGTTTCATCTGGAAATATCTAGAGAGCAGGAAACAAAACCAAGCGTTGTTTGGTACGACCCATGTTTGCTGTGCGAGAGTCATTTTTAGCCGTAATTTCCAGGGGTCTAATCATGGCGATTAAGAGCAGGTCGATCGTGTTTGTTATCGTGGAAGAATGGGGGAGAGTGGATGGTAGCAGCTGGATAAAAACGAAGAAGAATATGTAAAGGGAGACAGAGCTAAAATGGAAACACGAGGTGTTTGTCGTATTTTCTATAAGTTCGATGGGGAAGCCACGAGGCGTGTAAGAAGACGAGAAATTGCCAAATTGGGAAGGGCTGAACAGTGCCAGCAGCGCATGTAGGTCGCGTGCTATTCGTACAATTCCGGAAACCGCAGCCGTCCCCTTTGCACAGGTTGGGAAAGTGCAGGCCGCAAGAAAGTTTTGAAGAGAAAGGGCACTGCAGGTGCAAGTTGCTTCCTTCCTATGGCTGACCCGCTTTTCTGCATTCAGCCAACCACATGGCGCAGTTGCACCACGCGTAAGCCGCAAGTCCTCTCTAACTGATCTCTAGGAACTTATTCCCATCGCCCATGTGCACTCGCACACGACGCCGTTCTTTGCGCGTCGCACGGAGATCAGATCCTGTCGTACATGTTTTCCATGACAGTGAACGACTGCGGGCCGCTAGCATCCACCAAGGGAGTCACCGAGAGGACCCTTGCACGTTGTCTCCGCGGTCGATCTATCTGCTCTTTCGACGTTTTGTCTTGTTGACGCCGGCCTTTCGACCTTTTCTGCCTCTGTCACGACTGAGAGGACACAGCTATTCCATCTCTGCGTAAGCACGAGCTATACCAGCAGCTGCGGCACATTAGCAGAGCCCTAATGTGACGACACGTCACAAATGACGAACTGAAGTCGATAGCAACTTCGATGGCGAACGGAGCACACACGTCGGGGCGGCACTACACGGACGATGATACAATACACAACGGCAGCCTGGGCGATGGCCAGAGCGACAATTCTACGGAGATGACAGCACATCTGCCGAGCCAGGGCTTGACGGCAGAGCAAAGCGAGCATTTATTAGGCGGCAGCAGGCATGAGAACATCATCGACGACGACGAGGGCGGCGATAATCTACATGCCAAAGAGTACGGCGACCTAAGTGACGTGCGCCCGCGGCCACGACGAGAAGCGTGGTGGAGGACATGCATCTTTTTATGTGCCGTCCTCGCGAGTACACTGTCGCTACTACTGCTCGTCAAGATTGCATTCTTTGATGGCGCTGCCGTTCGACCAGAACAGACAGAGCAAACAGAGCACGCAGAACATACCGAGTCGGCAATGACCTCGGCCGTTCCAGTGCCAGAGGTTGTGGCGACGACTGCACCAACCCCTGCAACAACGACGGAGCCCGTCGGCCATGAGGCGACGGAGACGCCCTCATTCCGCCGGCCCGAGTCGGACTACGTCCTGGACAGAAACTGGGACTACAACGCGCCTCCAACTGTCCGCGAGTACAACTGGGTCGTGCAGAACATCGAGGCCAACCCGGACGGCATCTTCCGGACGATGATCACCATCAATGGGCAGTTCCCCGGCGAGCTGATCCGCTGCAACGAGGGAGACACAATTGTGGTGAACGTGGAGAACAAGGCTGCCAACGCCACGGCCATCCACTGGCACGGACTCTTCCAGAACGGCACGAACCACATGGACGGCACACCAGGCGCTACCCAATGCCCCATTGCCCCCGGGCGCTCGTTTCGCTATGAGTTCACTGTTAGAGGACAGTCCGGAACGTGTACGTACAAACACTTTGATGATGCAATACCTGCATTGTAGCGTGCCCAACTGACGAGCCAGACTTCTATCACGGCCATCAAGGCGCAGAATCCCTCGACGGGTTAATTGGCCCCATTGTGATCCACTCACGCGATGAGCGAAAGAACCAGGTGCTACCGTACGATACGGACCGCGTGGTTCTTGTACAGGACTGGTACCACGACCTGTCGAGCGGCCTCCTGAAGGAAGCGCTCGCACCGGGCAGTGAATCGCCTCCGCTGCCCAACGGCGCCCTCGTTAACGGCGCCAATGTGGTCAACTGCGATACGTATCCCGACCGGCGCTGTGACAACTCTACTGGCGCGCGTGTGCCGGCGCTCGATCTTGAAGCGGGCGCCAGCCACCGCCTGCGCTTCATCAACGTTGGTGGCTTCGCCTGGTTCGAGGTCAGTCTCGACCGTCACCTGAGCCTGCCGGTCACAGAAGTCGACGGGGTCGACGTCGCGCCTGTGCTCGAGAAAACTCTTCTCATTGCGCCGGGCCAACGGTACAGCGTGGTCCTCACGACCAACGAGACAAGCACGCCGGACCGCGCCTACTGGCTGCGCGCCCGCATCGCCACGCACTGCTTCTCCGAGTACACGCTGGCTGGCCAGGACAACCCACAGACATTGGCCATTGTGCGCTACACGGATATCGGCGACAGCCGCCACAAACAACAGCAGCTCGACCCGGCCCGTATTCCGACAACGAACAGTGACAGCGGCGACTACATTGTCGTCTGCCAGGACATGAACACACGCAAGCCCCCAAACGTCTACCATCCTGTACCTGTCGTTCCCGCACCCGCATACGCCGACCATTCCTACTACATCCGTCTCAACATCGAGATCCACGACCATCGGCTGCAGCGGGGCTACCTCAACGGGTCATCGTACCGACCCAACCTGCTGTCGCCTGCGCTGCACCGTGCCGTGGATGGCTTACATGAAGGAAACACTTCGTACATGGGCGCCGACGGTGCAGGCACGCTCGCTGCCTTTGACACGCGCTCGGAACTGGTGCTGGCGCACAAGGACGTCAAGGTCATTGATCTCATCATCCAGAACTTTGATGAGGGCAGCCACCCGCTGCACCTGCACGGGCATGAAATGTTCGTGCTGGGATCAGGACACGGCTACTTTCCGGGCTATGCAGCGCTAGGCCTGAAACCAGAGGGCAAGGGACTCGTGAATCCGCAGAATGCGAGCGTCATTGCCAATCCAGTTCGGCGTGACGTCGTATCTGTCGAGGGGTTCGGATGGACCATACTGCGCGTGGTCGTGGACAACCCGGGCGTGTGGAAATTCCACTGCCACATGATTTGGCACGGTGACGGCGGCATGGGCATGTTGCTACTGTCGCGGACGGACGTGCTGCGGGACATTGTGATACCCGAGGCAAACCGGGCCCTCTGCGAGGCGAGCACCGCCGAGCTGGAGTCGGGTGCTGCGCCCAAGGACAGCCTGTGGTCGGGGCGGTAATTCAGCATCACTGCATGTAAAACAATTTTAAGACATTGAAAGCATTAATGAAATAAATAACGACAAATGCAGATTGCTAAGGGACAAAAAGTTAAAAGCAAGATAACAATCCCAAATCCCATGGGTTTCCTTGCCGTCATCCTATGACTGATTATAGAACGACGGAAAAGGAGAAAGAATAAAACCGAACGGCATGATACAACACTGCTACTGCACACTGTACCCCCCTTTCCGTTTTGTATTGAATTGGTCGTGCGGCCGTGTTTGTTTGTTTGTCTGTCGCCTCTCGGTCACTTATGCCGCCGTTGCGCTGGACTTGACGCTGAACTCGGTGAAGAAGTCCTTGTCGCTCTCGAGCTCTTCCTTGATCTGGTGAGGGGGTTAGCAAACGTCAAAGAAACACACATGACAGGACAACCGAAACGTAGCATGGTGAGGGCGAGAGGACTCACAATGTCCAGACCACCGACCAGCTCGCCGCGCATCCACAGCTGCGGGTACGTCGGCCAGTCGGCAAACTCCTTGAGGCCCTGCCGCACCTCGTCGTCGGCCAGGATGTTGAAGAAACCGTACTTGACGCCGTGCTCGCGCAGGATGGCCACCAGCCGCCGCGAGAAACCGCACTGCGGATCGCCCGGCGTGCCCTTCATGAACAGCATCACGGGCGCCGCCTTGACCAGGTCGCCCAGCCGTTTGAAGAGCTCCTCTTTTTGCTGTGCCGGGTCGGGCGTCGCCGCCGCAATGGGGGCTATTGCCGCGCCGGCGGCACCGCTCGACTGTGCCTGCCCCGCTGCCGCTGCCGCTGGCGAGGCCGATGCGCCGCCCGCCGCCCCTCCCTTGGCGTGCTGCTCAATGGCGGCGCGCACCTTGAGGGCGCTGCTGCCGCTGACCGTCTCGAGAACCCGGCCGTTGCGCAGGAGCACGAGGAACGGCACGGCAGTGACATCGTACTGCTCACTGACGTCGCTCAGGTCCTCGGCGTTGAGCGAGACCCACGACGTCGTCGGCGGCGTGGGTGTCGGCGGGTATTCGTCGGCCAGGGCCTGCAGGACGGTGGCCATCTGGGCGCAGGGGGCTGCCCAGGGCGCATGGAACGAGGCGACGAGGAGGGTGGACGGGTCGAGGGCGCGCAGGTGCGCGTCCCACTCGTCGACGGACTTGATCTCCTGGATAGTCGACATTGTGGATGTGGAGGCAGGAAGATCGTGTGGACGGTGGAAGAGGGCCGAAAGGATATATCAAAAGAATGTCGAGGCTGGGGTGATGTCGAGACGAGGTCCAGATGATGTCGAGAAGATGTGATGTCGAAAAGTTAAAAGATATCGAGGCCGGAATCGATTACAAAACAAGGCTGTGCGTTGGCCGTGAGAAACGGGCGGTTGTGTTGTCACTGTCTAGGGTTCAACGGGCACCCGCTGACATATCGGATTTCGCGCTCCGATGTACGGCTGTGGTGGTGCAATGGCAGGCCAAAAAAAAAAGGCAGAAAGAAAAAACAAAGAAAAGAAAATGGGTCCGGAAAATACCGACTATAGTATTTTGAATTGGCAGTGGTCTGCTGGAAGGAGTGAGCTTTAGTGAGCGCAAAGCAGGAACCACCGACTGCCCCGCGGCCGACGGCGAGAGTCAGACGAGCACTGTTGTCCCATTGGCGGAGGCGGTCTTGCATCATTTGGAGCAGTAGTTGTCTTGCACTTTGCGCCTGGCCGTGCCACAATGACGAATAGAGAAAGAGCGACCGGCCTTAGTCTCATGCGCACCTTCCCTTCTTGTATAAGTCTAAGTCAGTTTATTCTATTGCAATCCAATCACATCCGATATGGTGTAATGGTCAACATCCGACGCTCTCACCGTCGAGCTCGGGGTTCGATTCCCCGTATCGGAGCTTTCAGCTTATGATTATTTTTTTCTATTTTAACTTTTTTTGTCTTTTTGTACAGTTGTCTTACGATAAATTTTATTTTACTTTTACCATCAGAGCTGTCAAGTTACAAACGCCTCATGTTTTAAAAATCGGCTGTCTCAGTACAAACCCAATGTCTTAATTTTGCTAGTCAGAGTCCGATACAAAAAGCCCTCAAGGTCCGCCCAGGCAATACGGCTTTCTATCAACCTTTTTCGAAGGCTAGAGTATTTACAACCGCAATAAAGAACGCAGATTGCCAAGAAGTGCCTCTGGCAGAATCAGGGGCTGTGTGCAACCTGTGGCGCGCACAACGCTTCGTGCCGCAGCCCATGATGCAACAAGGCAGGCATGAAGATCGGCTACGGAGGGAACGGATGATGCCGCTGGTAGTGCAAACTGGCTTCTTGGCAAAAGGGACCCTTGTGCAAGGCGGTCAGAATATTGTTCTGATTTTTACCATCGATAGTATGCGAGCATTCGAGTAATTTACTCCGTATGCAATATGTTCCGTTTGTGTAATTCGTCAAGGCCTTTTGCAGATATGGGGTATTTGTTGAGTTGGCGTTTCTTATTTGCTCTGCCGCAGACCGTCCGTCTTTCAATAGCCATAGTATCATCAACAGAAGCGTCTAGACGTGCGGCGTAGCTCGTCTGTTGCCTCTCTCCGGTCACAGGCGCCTATCGTTTCGTTTCGTGTTCCTGGCGTCCCTATGGTTCGGCTGCGGTGCTCATTTTGCTTTGGCGGCGCTCCTGACAAGAATGTCATAGATTTCCACTAACCAGGCGATATGCGCCGGATATGAGTCGTTTGTCGCAGCCAAAGAGAAGGATTCTGAAAAGAGGATTGAATACGGGAGGGCCGGAACAGATTGACATAGGAACCGCAGGGCCCTATCACTCACCGCGCCCTGGAGAATTAGAAACTCGAGATGTGTCAGATCAAGCGCCCGGGAAAATCAGAATCAGCAGCCAGCGAAAGCCAGGCCTGCCCAGGCCAAGCCAAGACCGCATCGACCAAAGTCGTGGCTTTCTCGCCAGATGACAGCGCAGGTGCAGGGCCAAGTCAACGACTCTGTCGAGTCTGGCTGCTTTTCATCTCCTCTTGTACTCTCCTAAAACAGGATCAACTGTATCGAAACCCAGACCGGTTGCAGCCGGAGTGCGCGTCGTAATAATACGCATGGGCGCTTGGCCAGGCCGGTGGAGGCCCTGGGGACTCGAGAACATTGTTGTGGAGTGTCAGCGTGCATTGAAGGTAAGGGGGGTCACAAGGCAGGTAGACGCATGCTAAGGTAGCTTTCAGTGCTTCGTGTCTGTGTCTGGCCCGTCACATCACGCGGTTTTCTCACTCAACACGTAAGTCATAGAGGGTAAAGCCATAATGAGCGCAAAGAGGGTGTTGCGTTGAACTGTAAAAATGAAGAATACGAGAGGCTACTTCTGGTAGACGTTTTGCGCCCAAGTGGTTTTGATCACATGGGAGGACGTCCAACTCTCCCAGGCAGGTCGTTCTTGCCTCCGACACTATCTTACCAGTCCGGAGCTGCGACACGCAAAACCAGTTCCTGCCGTCTTTCTTGCCACTAACATTGCACTAACGCGCCAGCGCCAGCATAGGAGGCCGCCACTAGCACGAGAGCGTCGTAGTATTTCGTAGCAACTCCTTTATTGACGACGCCTCTCTGCGGCAGAGCCCAAACGAGCAAGGAAAGAGCGCTAGGGCCAGGCCAGCTCCTGCCACCACGTCCACTAGACTCCATCCATTCTCAACCCAACGCCTAACAGCATCACCAAAACCACGCCAGCGCCAGTGGACGTGTCTGCGCCGTCGTGGGCTCCCGAAAACCTCCTCAGAACTGCTGGTGTCCTCAATGCATCAGAGCATAGTTTTATTTTGCCTTGGTTTTTTGCTTTTGCCCCCTTGGATCGCCGTTCAGCCTTTCCCATTTCTGCTATTTTGTTTGTCCGTCTCGTGGGTCGATGCCGGCACTATTCGTACTGTACTCCACTGTCGGGCCCCGGTTTAAAGAAATTTAGAGGGTAAATGTGCAATAAGAGGATTTGCAGTGGGCATCGGAAAGAGCCCGGAAATGGTCTGAGCCTGCAGAGAAAGCAAAGCCACGACGGTTGCTCCTTCTCGTGCACTCGCAGCTGTCGACTGCCCCATGCAGCAGACGCCACACACCACTATATCTCGCGAGCCCAGTCTCCCCCATGATTCCTTCTTTCGTTCCTGCCGCTGTTGGTGCCCTGCCCTTTTTACATTCGACGGGCGGAGTTTGTTGTACTCCGTACAGTGGCACACACTGAGGAGACTGAAGACTGGGTCATCCTAACCCCCGACTGCCCCGACCACGAGCATTAAAACCATTCCAGCCCCTTTGCTCTCTTCCTTCCTTCCCCCGTACTCCTCTTTTTTCCTCTCCTGCGACAAAAAGCGAAATCTCTTTTCTGTTCACAACAAAACCGGCGACGTTTCTTGCATCCATCTTCCATCACCACCACATACAAAAGCATTCCCTTCGTTTTCTTCGAAAAAACAGCAAAATGTCGAACCAAGGATACTACAACCAGGGCCCCCCCCAGCACTACGGTGGCCCGCCGCCCCAGGGCTACCCCCAATACCCTCAGCAGGTAAGGCTGTTTCGCACCCACACCCCCATTGTCCCTCGTATTTCGCACTACAGGGCCTCTTACCACCCGGCGATGGTCGCACGAATCCGTCCCTCCTGTCAACATGCGACGGATCGTCGACGGGGGAACCGCTGGGGAGGAAACAAGATGCTAACTTTTGCTTCATAGGCGTACGGCGGTCAACCACAAGGCTACTACCCGCCCCAGGGCGGCATGCAGTACCAGCAGGCGCCGCCGCCCCAGAAGCAGGGCGGTGGTGACGGCTGCCTCAAGGCCTGCTTGGGTGCCGCTCTGTGCTGCTGCATTTGCGACGAGTCCATGGACTGCTGTCTCGACTGCTGCGCGCTGTGTTAAAGAACATAACGGGACGAGGGCGAAGCAATGTGAGGACAAAGGTCCATCGGACCTGAGCCGGCGATGAACCAAATGGCTGTGATTTATCGTTACCTTGTTCTGTTTCTTTTTGTTTCCACAATCCCATTCCCAATTCGAGCCGGCCACCCATACAAAAGCACGACACATGGGCTTGCGAGACCTATCTTACCGAGCTCGACTCAGCGCCCCGCTGCGGCGACCTCTCGACCCAGCTCACAGCAAGGACAGGACGGACGGACCAGCGAGAGCGACGACAAAGGCAGCGGTGGACGAGCTCGTGCAAGGCCGAGCGCGGAGTGGTGGTGGACGGTCGACAAGCGGGCGGGCGGTACTTGGGACGCGTTTTTCTGCTGTGCCTACTGTTATTTGCGTTGGTTGTTTCCTAATCTTTTGCTTTTTGTCTTTATCTCGCATGAGGTCTTCCTATTTCCTATGTACTTGTTGCCAGTTCTTCTTTCTTCTAACGACGTCTCTTTTGTGTTCCCTTTAATTACTTGCTCATTGTGTGCTCTCAAGAGATCTTTTGTCCTTTGCAACCGAGTGTCTCTACGCGCCCTCTTTTCATGTCTTGCCAAGCATTTTGCTCAGTTTTTGCCGTTTGTTTGCTTCAAGCGCTTATGCTTGTGCCTCTTGCATGCAAAACATCCACTCGGTAATATCTGCTCAGCCACCGCATTGTATCTACAAAATATAATTCATTTGTACCAGGCCGACCATCAACAATGACCGGATGCTCAACTTGCTACCATCGTTCGTTCCCGCCTTACTTCACTCTCGCTTGTTGACACCGGCTATATCCATCCAAATAGGAAGATGACTGGATCCTTCCCTTCATATTTACATACGTCCCATTCGCTCACAAACACCGGCTGTTTTGGGCCAGGCTCTTTGTTTTCCATTGCTGCATACAGAAAACTGCCATCCCTCCAGAGCCCCCCTCTGTCCGCAGTCCGTCTTCACACGTCGTCGTCGGCATCTCCGACAGTGCGCCGGATGTTTTCATTTCGCTGCACATATGTATGCCCAGGTTGCACATTGTCACCCATTGCTGGCCCTGGCGATTCCGGAGTGAGATTTACAGCCCGTTGCCAAAATAGATGTCTGCCAAGAGGCTACGAAAATGACCGGCTCACATTGCGGGCCGCCCAGAGGAAAGGTTTCCAAGAGAAGGCCAGCACCTTTTAGGCCTCTGCAGAGAGTACAAGATGCTCACACTTGTGTCTGCAAATGACAGGTAGAGATGCGCCGTGTACCGTGTGAAGTGCAAAGGCTATGCGCCACACTGTAAGTCCCTTCGTAACAACGAGACGGGGCAGTGAAAAGCTTTGGGCTGCCTCTTCCACACCTCTCGGCCTCGCCTTCCCAAGTCTCAATTGATCGCAGCTCGGCGCAGTTTGCCACTATTTCCAGCTCGCGAGTGTTGTACCTTGCCAGGGGTGCCAGGCTGCCGAATTAATTGTCGATGAAAGGACACGGATGCCTGGCAGCCAATGGGTTTTCATGGCTGCCTCTCCATATTCCGCTGCCTTGACGTAGTTGGGCCACCACGCACCCTCGCACTCGCACCACAGCCCAGCCATACGTCTTGCGCGACTCGTGGCAAGAGCCCCGCCTTTTTGTTCTGGCGCTCATTCCATCAATGCCCACTCGACACTGCTCTACCCCACCACAGCAAAGGCACAGCCTCTGCAGCGAGAAGCTGCTCTCCCTGCCTCCTTCCATGTCTTTCCTTCACTATTATCAGAAACAAAGCTCGCCAGGGTCGTCGTAGCAGTGTACAGAAAGAGAAAGAGCAGCCCCATACATTGGAACCCACCCCTCTCATCAGGGCCCCATTGCGCATTGTGTGTGGCCGTTGGAAGGTCCGATTGTCTCGTTTGCACCTTCCATCGTTACAGAACGTTGTGCACGAAAAAAAGAGATAGGAAAGAACCAAGCAGCTCTTTCCTTGTTCTCGTCCCGTCTTGCTGCTCATCCCAGCTCTGCCTCCTGCATTCCCCAACAACAGACGTTCGTGACGCCTCAGCTGGCATCTTTTTGAATTTTGGTCTGTCAGATCGGCTCTCGCGTCAACCTGTCAACCTCACCTTTGACTGCCCTTTTAGTGCGCTCTAGCTTGCTTTCCACCAGTTCCGGGCGCCATTTTGCTGTGCTGCCCCCCTTTTAGCTCCTCTCCATACCTCAAACCAGCCTCCCCCCTCCTTTCTTTACCTTGATTTCCCCTCTCTTTTTGTTCCATACATCTTCTGCTTGTTCCTGTATCTCGGTGTTGTCTGTCGTCCCTGTTGCTTCATTCAACTCCTTTTCCTTCCGTTCTCTCCCTCCCCCATTCTCCCCGCTTCCCCCATCACTCTCCTGGTGAGCGGATCGACGACCTACCACCTGTTACTCGTTCCTGCGAGCGTCGAACAACACCACATACACATCCCACGACAGACCGCGCGCCATGACCTCGCTCAACCTTTCCATCAACGGGCCCTCCATCCGGAGCAGCTACGACTCTGTCATCAAGGCACCCAATTCGACCTCCAGCTCCCCCACCGACGTTCGCTGGGCCCTCTTTTCCGTCCAGGCACCCCTCGCCAATGCCTTCCAGGACTCGGGCAACAAGGAGAGCGTCCTCAAGGTCGACGGCACCGGGTCCGGTGAGCTCGACGAGCTCATTGAGGACTTCAGCGAAGGCCGCATCCAGTTTGCCTTTGTCCGCGTCAAGGATCCCAACTCCGGCCTGCCCAAGAATGTTCTCATTGCCTGGTGCGGTGGCGGCGTCCCCGAGCGCACAAAGGGCTATTTCACGAGCCACCTCGCTGCCGTGTCCAAGGTCCTCCACGGCTACCACGTCCAGATCACCGCCCGCTCCCAAGACGACCTCGAGATCGACAGCATCATGAAGAAGGTTTCCGACGCCTCCGGGGCCAAATACTCGGCCGGCAGTTCCGGCGATGCCGGGCCCCGCGCCGCACCGCCCCCGCTGGCCAAGAAGCCCGTGTTTGGCCCGACCAGCAGCTCGTCCGCAGCTCATGCGCCGCTCGTTGCCGCCCGCAATCGGCGGCAGGAAAACGTCGACGCCGACGGCTGGGGTGACGACGCCCCGCCCGTCACCCGCACCCAGATCGAGAAGGTCGAGTCCGCATACAAGCCTGTCAAGGTCAACATGGCGGAGCTCACCAAGCAGAGCCAGCCCCAGCCCCCTCGGGCTAGTGGTGGTGGTGGTGCTGCTGCAAGCCACAGCAACGACAATCCTGACGTCATTGGCGGCGGGTACAAGCCCGTCGGCAAGGTTGACATTGCTGCCATCCGCGCCGCCGCAAAAGAATCCCGCGACGACCGCCCGACCATTGTGAAAGGCGCCTACGAGCCTGTTGGTAAGGTGGACATTGCTGCCATTCGTGCCAAGGCCCAGCGCCCGACCGACGACGACAGCAGCGCCCGCCCCTCGCCCCCTCCTCCCTCTGCGCCGGCCGACGACGAACCGGAGCCACCCAAGAGCCTCGCCGCCCGCACCGCAATGCTCACGCCGTCCGAATCCGACCGCCTGACCTCCCTCCCTAAGCCCAAGATAGCCAACAGGTTCGGCGGCGCCCCTGCCTTCTCCGGTACGAAGGCTCCGATTCCCGGCAGCGGCAGCCTCGGCCTCGGCGCGCCCCGTCCCCCAAACCCCCTCCGGTTGGCTCGGCCAGCCGCACATTCGCCGACCAGGGCGGTAAAACGCCCGCACAGATCTGGGCGGAGAAGAAGGCCCAAGGAGGTTCCGGTGCTGCGAACCTAGCACCGTCCGGTGTCACGTCCCCGCCTCAGGTGGTGTCGCCTCTCGGCGCACAGAAGAGCGGTGGCGAGTGGAAGAGCGGGTACAAGGGCAAAAGCTGGGGCGCTGTGCAGACGACCAACTTTGGCCGTGGGGGTGCCGTCACCGAGCAGCGCACTGGTGGGTCGGTGGACGCCAAGTCCCAGGACGAGCCGCCCAGCTCGCCTGGCGGTGGCGTCTCGGCGCTGCGAGACCGCTTCAAGGGTGCCCAGCCCATGGGCCAGCCGGCTCCCTCGGCCCCCGCCATTCCTACGCACACTGGCGACAACAGCCGTGGCTTCGACAACAACAACGATGATGACGACGACTCGGCCCCGCCCCCGCCTATTCCCTCTGCCTCCCGCCCTCCAGGTGCCTTCCAGCTGCCTGGCTTGCCATCACGGCCACCGCCGCCGACGGACGAAGAAGAGGAGGAAGAGGAGTCCCACGAGCGTGAGCAGTCACCTGTCCGCCTGGCCGTCCCTGTTGCTCGTGCGCAGGAACGGGAGCCAGAGCCAGAGCCCGAGCCCGAGCAAGAAGAGGAGCCTGCGCCGCCCGTCCCCGTCGCACCACGGCCGGTTCCCCCTCCGGTGCACGATGAGCCCGAACCTGAACCGGCTGCTGCCCATGCTGGCGGTTCCGGCGGCAGTGGCCAGCGTGCGCTGGTCCAGTACGACTACGAAAAGGCCGAGGACAACGAGATTGAGCTGGTCGAGGGCCAGTACGTCACCAACATTGAACAGGTCGACGAGGATTGGTGGATGGGCACCAACGAGCACGGCGAGACTGGTCTGTTCCCTAGCAACTACGTCGAGCTCGTGGACGACGACGCGGCTCCTGCCCATCGCGACCCCACACCTGCAACGGCGACGCACGTCCCACCGCCGCCACCAGCCGAGGAGCCGGAGCACGAGGAGACGGGCGGCAAGAACCTGCCGTGGGCCTATGCCCAGTACGACTACGAGGCTGGCGAAGACAATGGTAGGTCACATCACACATGTCCAGCTACTCTATCTGAATGCAAAGTATCAAGGTTGCAAATGCTAACAGCCCGCTGCAGAGCTGAGCTTCCCTGAAGGCGCCAAGGTGACGGACATTGAGTTCCCCGACGACGACTGGTGGTTCGGCCACTACCAGGGCCAGTCGGGTCTCTTCCCGTCCAACTATGTCGAGCTGCAGCAGCACTAGACACGACGACAGGTGGAGTCGAAGGTGGATGCTCGATGGGGCGAGGCTTGTCTTAACGTCTTGCCGCGCAGTGGCCACACTTTGCTTTTCTTTTGTATGCATGCTTCGATCGCAGCTTGCCATGATTTTGCCTTTTCTACACATCGGAGATGGGGGATACTGGCTTCTGCTTCTTCTCTTTCCTATTGTTACGCTTTTATTATCTGTCAAACATTGTTCCTTTTGTCGAAATTTCATTTCGACCGGTCCCTTTTTCTTTGTTTGCTTTCTTCTTCGTTCCGGAACCATTTGAGTGGAGAATGCTTTGCCGTAGACAGACGACTTATGATGAGGGAAAGCTTGGTGGCTTAAAAAGGGGACTGTGGATGGGTTATTTGACAATTAAACTCGGTTTGTTTTGAAGGCGAGCTGTTTAAATATCGCGGGACGGTTTTCATTTTGTGAATGTGTCATTTTTCAATTGCAATTTTTATATAACGGAATAAATAAAACTGTTTCTTTTCTTTTTTCTTTTTTTTTCTTTTTTCTCTTTTTTTTTACAAAGCATTAACAATAGGTAATGGACAAACCTCGCCTATCCCCTCCACCACAGAAAAGAAAAACAACCTTGTCACTTATATTTGCCGGTTATTCTCCCAGTTGAGATGCACTGTTGCTCCATTATCAAAGAAAGTCTAATGTGGAGGCAACGCTGTCTATTGCCAAAGCAAGCAAGCCGAGGCTTCCCCGTCCCACAGCCTGTGATTCACCACACTAGAGTGAGAGCTCTCGTTGTAATCACTGCCCCGTTCTTTCCCCGCAAAATAGCGCTTCGAGGCGAGGAGAATTGGTCCACAGAAGCTGTTTTTGGGAAGAAGTAAAAGTTGGCCCGGCGGATCACGGAGAAGGAGCAACCACGGCGTTTTTGTAGTCGGATCCCACAGTAGTAAAACTGTGGAGACTCGGCCATGTTGCCTTTAGGAGACTGAAGAGCTGTAGACCCGTATCTGTGATGTAGATTGTACGACACCCTTTTCGTCGATACAATACAGCGGGACCTCGAAACTGAACCTCTTGAAGACCGCTGTTTATATCTATTTACTTCGACGGGTTGCACTCTGCCGTCCGAGTACGACAGTAAGCCAGAGCTCGAGTCTCCCTAAAACGCCCAATCAAAAGAACTAAACGAACCAAAAGGGCCAAAAGCGCCAAAATGGGCAAAGACACAAGGCATTCCGCCGGCACGCTGCGCCCGCCGCACCCGCCCATCCGCAACCCCCCCTACGCCGACTACCTCTACGACATCTATCGCTCCCGTCTGCTTGCCAGCCAACTGCCGGTCGCCACCACGGACCCCTATGCGCTGGAAGACGAGGCCCGTCGGGTCATGTCGAGCGAGGTGAAGCCCAACGAAGACGGCGAGGGTGCCATTCCTGCCCGGCCTGCTGCCTTTGGCTACATTGCAGGCGGTGCCGGCGCTGGCACGACCGTCGAAGCCAACCGCCGCGCGCTCGACCACGTTGCTCTCGTCCCGCGCATGATGCGTCCCGGAAAGGTAAAGGCAGGCACCGACGCGGCGACCGCATCGCTGCGGGACCTGCGCGTGCGCCTCTTTGGTGGGCCCGGCCGTGGCCCGCCGGTGGATCTGGCCAGCCCTGTCGTCATGGCGCCCGTCGGCGTCCAGTGCGCCTACCACCCCGACCGCGAGGTGGGCGTTGCTGGTGCCTGCGCCGAGGTGGGCGTGCCCTTTTCCATCAGCACGGCTTCGTCGTCCAGCATCGAAGAAATCAAGGCGAGCCTTGACGACACGTGCGTCGAGGACAGCGCCGCCAGTCCGGCACCCGCACCTTGGTACCAGCTGTACTGGCCCCAGGACGACGCCATCACGGCCTCGCTGCTGCAGCGTGCCCGCGCTGCCGGCTGCCGCGTGCTGCTGGTGACCGTCGACACGTTTACCATTGCGTGGCGGCCGACGGACCTGGACGCAGGGTACCTGCCGTTCATCACGACCAACGAGGGCAACGCCATTGGCTTCAGTGACCCCGTCTTCCGGAAGAAACTGGCCGAGGGCGAGCCGGGCGCAGAGGACGAGGAAGGCGATGGCGAGAGCGAGAGCGAGCCCGCCACTCCCGAAAACAACGTGCTGGCTGCTTCGCTGCGCTGGACGAGCGAGGTGTTCCCCCGTCGTGCGCGTCCCTGGTCTGACCTGGCCACACTGCGCCGCCTCTGGGGCGACGACGGCGCCATCTTGATCAAGGGCGTACAGCATCCAGACGACGCGCTCCTGGCTCGCCAGTACGGCGCTGACGGTGTGGTTGTGAGCAACCACGGCGGGCGGCAGGTGGACGGCGCTGTGGGGTCGCTCGAGATGCTGCCCGAGGTGGTGGCCGCTGTGCGGGCAGCCGAGGCGCGGGATGCCGGCGAGGCGGAGCGGAACGGCACGGGTCCACTGCAGCCGGCGCCCTTTACGATTCTGTTCGACTCGGGCATCCGGACAGGATCCGATGTGATCAAGGCGCTGTGCTTGGGCGCACAGGCCGTATTAGTGGGCCGTCCCGTGATGTACGGCCTGGGCATCGCCGGCCGCGACGGTGCAAAACATGTCCTGGCGGGTTTGCTGGCGGACCTGGACCAGACGATGAACTTGATCGGGTGTGCGACCATTGCCGACCTGGGGCCATTTATGCTTCGAAAAGGCGGTGCTGCGGTTAAGGCGTTGCTGTAGTTGGGAGGGTTTGGCTGTGTATTGACAAAATGAAAGTGCATTCAAGAAATAAAGAAAAAGAAGAAGAAGACAGAGCCGTCCGTTGTGCGGGCTCCTTTTAGATCCGTTGCCTACCAACCTGTCCCGTGTAGAAACTCTAACTATCTTGTCGTCGTTTTTGGACCGCAACCTGACGCCAATATTTTTCGCGCATTTATCATTTGTGACGTGTCGTTGTTCGTAAAATTCATTATAAAACCAACCAAGAAACGTCTACCCAATAAACTCCGTCGTGAGAAGTGTTTCCCACGGCTTGCCCGTGCCCCAGGCCTTTTGCATCAAGGCCCGCGCCCGGGTCACCTGCATCATGCCCGTCCCCTCCACGCTCAGCATGCGGTTCAGCAGGTTCTTGCGTGTGCCGTCGTCGAGACACTCGCAGCCCGCCGTGAACAGCGGGAACAACAGGCAGTTCTCGGCTGTCCCGCCAAAGCTCACGCGGCCAATGCAGTCGATGATTTGCTGCACGGGGCGCTGCACGTCTGGGTGGTCCGTTGGCTTGCCGAGAACACGGCGCTGCAGCTGCACAAGAGCTGCCCAATGGTAGGCCTCGTTGGTCGCCGTCATCTCGTCGCGGTCCCAGCGGACGGCGTCGCCGGACTGGTGCAAGTGCGCACATGGCCGTGGCCTCTGGACCATGCTGTCGCGCACATCGACCTCGAGCGACTCGACGCTCATCTTGATCTGCGTGCTGGGGATCCACGCATTCGCGTCCTTGCGTGTAATCCTCAAGCGGTCCGGCTCGTGCCGACGGACGAGCTCGGCAATCTGCGACAGGACATATATGCAGCGGGTGGTGAAGCCCATGATGCAGTCGATTTCGTCGTCGTCCTGCGGGTCGTAGACTTTGTAATCCAAGATCCAGGCGGGCGTGGCATCGGTGGGCCCGCCGCTTAATCCGCCCAAGACGTCAATGTACGCAAACCAACTCCAGAGGAAGGAGCACACTTGGCCTTCCAGCGAGCTATGGTGGTCGACCCGGAGGCCCTCCGGACGCGTGGCGATCAGCTCGCGTGCTAGCATCAGATGCCTCTGCCAAGGGATGTTGTAGCCGAATGCCGTCGGGGACACAATGGCGAGTGACGCAAGCATAATAGCCGTCGCGACATTAGCGTTCGATATTTTTTGCTTGTGGTCGTCCAAGGCCTGGCGGAGGGCAGGAAAGATGTCCTGTACCCACAAAGCGATGCGCATAACGGGTTCCGTCTGTTCTAGAATGCGTGCACGGTGGGAAGCCGAGTAGGCAAGCAGTAGGCTGAGAAGGTTGTCGTTGTTGATTGCCATTTGGGGGAGGATCGTACGGAACGGATTAGACTGTGGATCGTCATGTGGCACGAGAACCCGAGCAGTGTTGTTGATAAAGTGGTGGAAGTACTGGCAGGGTTAGCAAAGGTGCATGGAGAAGGAAACACACACACACACACACACACACACACACACACAAAGCAACGGCTTTCAGAACACGTACCAACATATTCATAGGGTTCTCCGTCAGTTTCGGGGGCAGTGTGCCGAGCGCGCGAGGAATTCGGACAGAGACAGGCGTGCTGTAGTATCCTCCCGACTCGTGGCCGGGCTTCTGTTGGCGTTCTGTGGCGTTGGTCTTGCTAGACTTGGGGCCACTTCGTACCCCCGACAAGGCGTTGGCGTCGTCGTTCTTTCCGAGATCCAGGTCTAGGAAACCAGCATCGATGCCGTAGTAACAGCTGGAGCGGTAGTGGTGATGGTTATGGTCATGCTGAGGGTCACGCTTGCTGTCTTCAGGTCTGGCTGTCTCAGCGGGTGGCGCTGGTGGGTTCGGGATGGGTGACGTCGTCGATGCCGGCGGTGTACCTGCCGCAGAGTTCGGGCCAAGAGGCCCGGAGAGCAGCGAGTTGACACTAAGACGACGGAAGTCGCTCGTTGCTTGTAAGTGCAAAAGGCTGTTGTTTGTATGGGGCGACGCCTTGCCTTGCTGTCCGTCTTCGTTGGCCCGAGGTGAGGAGCCTTCGACAGTTGGCTTGGGTGTAAAGCCAAGCGGAGGGGCGAACTGCCGTGGAGAAGGAGCGGAAAAGGAGCCAGAGACCGTAGAAGGAGACAAAGGCCAGGTCCATGCGAAATCGCGTTCGCTGGCGTCCGAATCGATCCGCTGTCGCTTTGAGTGCCGCAGGCGAGCATCGCCGGAGTCGGCTGGCGACGCGCTCTCTGGCGCGTCCGGTGCAGACAACGGCTGTGACGTCAGTTGAGGCGCTCCTGGTAAGAGCATCCGCGCTCCGTCAGGCGACTGGTGTGGAGGTGCAAGAGCCTCCTGCCCGCCCTTGGAGGCAACGCCTTTCAGTGGCTTCACGGGCCGTCGCGCGGCAAATTGCGACACGGCAGGCGACGTTGGCGAAATGGCCATGTTTGTCAGAATCTGGAACTGGCCTGCGGCGCTGCCTTGGGAGGTAGATGGCCGGCTCGGTCGTGCTGGCGCTCCCGGTCCACCTTGCGCTGGGCCGGTCGCCTGGAAAGATCCGACGCTCAGGGTCGGCTGGGCCCCATTTGCAGGCAAGGCAGAAGCCGGCGGGGCGGCGGTTGGACCCAGTTGGAACTGCGTTTCGAGTTGGGACTGTGGCAGCGGAGGCGGCGGCGGGGCGCGCTCGTCGCCCGAAGTAGGTTCGTCGAAGTCGTCATCGCCGTCCATCAGGGATCCGGCATCAAGATGGACGGCCTTAAGTTGTGGCCGCTTGGTTCGGCGGCCATCCCAGTTGAGGCGGATGCCGTAGTCGCACTGGTAGCCGCCTTTGAGACATCTAAGCAATCTGTTAGCCAGGGCCCAGCACCCGGGAAGGGAACGGAAAGAGGGCCACGTCGTACTTGGAGCAGCTCGGGCGCTCTTCGGTGCACTTGACTTTCCGTGCTTTGCACGACCAGCAGCCGCTCCTGCTGCGGCTCTTCGGCTCGCGGCCGTCGGGCTTCTTGGGCCGCGGCATGGTTGCGTGCTTTTGGATGACGGGAAAGGTTTGGTACTTCGATCGCCGGTGTGGATGTTGCTCCGTGTGCCGGAGGAGATCGCAATCACTAGACACAGGCGCACGGGCGTCAGCGGTCCGATCAGCGGACCGGATTGGAAACAGGTGGCAGCGCTGCCGCAGCCGTGGCTAGGCCGAGCGTAGTTGTTACCATCCGGAAACCGTGGTCGGTGTCAGAAGCGTGGGGAAGTGGTGATGGCAGTTGTCGCTTCTTCAATCGGCTGCTATGCCTGAAGCTCAATTGCGCAAGTTCGTAATCTTCCCCGCGCGAGAGGTGCTGCGGTCTGGGTTAGGTGTTCTCCGTTACCGGATCGCTGTTGGCTCACGGTCGGGGTCGATTGGAACGGACCGTCAATCTTTCAGATTGTTGCCTAGGGAGTATTATCGTCGTCTCGGTAGTTGATTTTATGCTTTGCGAGTGGCTGAAAAGAGACATGAAGCAGAAAGATAGTGGCCCAGTCAGAATCCCGAGATAATGGATTGCCTTAGGGCGGACCTGTAAAGCGACTCAAGCGCCGCTCCGTTGGTTGGCGTTAGCTCCAACAGTGACGGCGCCGTTTCTTGACGTATAGCTGTTGTTGTGAGGGGGGTGTTAGAATGTAATATATCAGGAGACAGCGACGGGGCGCCTTGGGCTGACAGCTCCAACGGCCAGGATCTCTCAGTGGGACGTGCGTGCGAGTGGCCGCTTGTTAGTCCTGGTCGTTCGGTTTCTTTGGTTGGAAAGTTGGTGATGATTTTGAGCTAGAGGACTGGATGCATGTTTTTCTTGCATATCCTCTCATGCATTTCAAGTGCTTTGTTTAGGAAGGTGCGACTTTCTTCTACCGAAGGAGCGGAGGAGGGGCGTTCTTGCTCTGTTTTTTATATCGTTTTCTCTGCTGGGGAACCGTTACTACGCGCTTGCTCTTTCCTGCGGTTTGGTCTGGCCGTTCCTTCTGAATTTGATATGCCAGATCCAACGGAAAGAACGGTAAAGCAGAACGCAGCCTCGACCTTTTCGGATCATTTATCAGCTACAATCGCGGATGCTGTGTGTTCTCGGACCTTGTGAATTCGTTTCTCCCTAATTTAAGAGAGTCTTGTCTTCTCCATAAAGATTTTTACCATCAGTCTTCGGTTAGACAAGGCTTCAGTGAGAGCGAACGGCAGCTCGAGAAAGTGGAGACCGCCCTGTTGGTGGGTTGCAGCTTCCTGTACATGAAGAAAGACGTACAGCACCTGCTTTCCTGGAGGATGAAATAGCGGACGGCAAGTACGACATAAGTAAGGCACAGAGGAAAGAACGCACCAACGGGAAGATCCCGCTGGGAAGGTACGGGAATCGAATAGAATGCATCTGCTACGCTGTATCTCCATGGGCATCTCGGCACATTTTTTGGATCAAAGGAAGAAGGCAGAGGCTCTACTGCAATTTGGAGCAGGTCCAGACGAGCCGCTTACCCACGATAACATAATCTGGCGGCTGGAAGCTAATGTGCGACGAATGGCACTGCAGCAGAACCATCTGAGAATCACAGATTTTGTTGAGGGTAACAAGACAGCATCGTGGGTACGTCGGAATACAATGGCGACGCAAGGAATATTACAGTCGCATAATGGTTTGCTTAGGTTCCTGCTTGCTCTTTGTTCTGGAGTATCGATAAGAATTTTCGCGGGTTTTCGTGCAGCCGCAACGCAACCATTGTTGTTGTTCGTCGACTCTTGCAGACAGCCAGTTCCTGCGGCATTGTCGGCGCGTTATGGCGCATATTGGCCTTGGGACACGACTATACTACGTCTGAAATGGTGGGCGGTTGACACGGTCGAGGCGCAAGAACCTGGACAATGTGACGCAGCGCGTGCAGACAGGAACGCAGCCACGGCCGCGGAAGCGGTACGCAGCGGCATTTGGGACGCGCTTAGATTTCAGATGTCAGCCTTCAACTTGCAAATGTCGCTTTTCGTATTATGGTATCGCGTGTCTATCTTTTCTCTCGCGCCCTATTGGACGTCGATGCTGAGGATCTTGATGTCTTCTTCGGGCCGCTCTTTGAACGTGCGTGTGTTCTCAATGCGGTGCACCACGTCCGTACCCTGGTGGACGCGGCCAAAGATTGTGTGCTTGTTGTCAAGCCAGGGCTGCGTTGTTAGTATGCGTCGGCGGACACGAAACAAAACAGAAGAAACGGAGAGAACAAAGGGGGGAGACGGGGGTGACGCACTGTTTTCACCGTGGTGATAAAAAACTGGCTGCCGTTGGTGTTCGGCCCTGCATTGGCCATACTGACGGTGTACGGCTTGTCATGCTTGAGCGAGCTGAACTCGTCCTCAAACGTATGGCCCCAGATGCTGTCGCCGCCGGTGCCGTCGCCCATGGGGTCGCCGCCCTGGATCATGAACTGGCGGATGACGCGGTGGAAGATGGTGTTGTTGTAGTAGCCGCGGCGGGCGTGCGTCACAAAGTTCTCGACCGCCTTGGGCGCCGAGCCAGGGAACAGGCGGATGTGGATGTCTCCGTGCGTCGTGTGCATAATGGCGTTGGTGCCCGACGCGGCCTCCTTGCTGTCCGCGGCGCCCTGCTTCTTGCTGCCCTTGCCCTGGCCAGACACTGTGGGCCTCTCGTTCAGAATGTCACGGGCGTTGCCCTTGGGGATGTCCACCTGGTTGGTGAACATATAGAAGCGCGCCTTGCCGACGGCCGTGGCGACCAAAATTGGATCGCGCACTTCCGATTCCTGCAGCAGCGGATTGCTCGACGCGGCCATGGCCACCGTGGTGACGCCCTTCTTCTGCGGCTGGCCCTGGTAGAGCGCCAGCTGCAGCGGACGGATGTGCTCGTCGGCGCCGTACAGCTTGACGACCTGGTTCGTAACTGTGTTGACGACCTTGATGCCGAGCATGGAGCCGTACAGCAAGAAATGGCCAGACTCGTCAAAGACCACATTGGCCTTGTTGCGCAGCGCGTCCGACTCGAGCTCGTGCTCGGCGGCCAGGCGGCGACCAAACTCCACCGCGTCCAGCTGGCGCAGCGCCGTGCCGGCCTGCTGCATGTCCTCGAGGGTGCGCAGCGACTCGTCGTACGTGCGGGTCAGCTTGCCCGTGGCAAAGTCAAAGAGGCGCACTTTGCGGTCGGGCATGCTGAGTGTGGCGAACTGCTGTCCCGTGGGCGAGAGGGCGAGCGCCGTCGGCACAGTTTTGTTCTTCTTGAACTCAAATAGGCTCGTTGAGCTCTTGAGGCGAAAGACGTTGTCGGGCTTCTCGTACGTGCCGTTGGGACGCCAGTACTCGACCATGCCGCCGCTGTCCGCGGACACGACGCAGTCGTAGGGTTCGTTGTACGCCATGAGCGTGACGGGGGTGCGGTGCATGGATTTGATGGTGTGGATAGGCTTCTGAGGCGCGACGTCGTCGACAACGGCAGCATCGGTTGGCGGCTTCTTGGACGTCGCGGCTGCTGCCTCGCCCCGCCCGTCGTAGATGTGGATAGCGGACGACTCCGCGTCCGCCACCGCCAGAAGAGGCAGCGACGCGCCGCGCCGGTGCACCCAGCAAATGCAGCGGGGCACAAAGTCGATGGCGATCATGGACAGAAGGTCGAACGTCGCCACGTCGAAGATCTTGATCGTGGAGTCGGTGGCACCAGCCGATGCAAAACTGCGGCCGTCGCGGCTGGCCGACACGGACGCAATGGGGCCTTGGTGCGCGCTGAACTGCTTGACAAACTCAATGCCTTCGGCCACCTTTTTCCAGAATTTGACGACGCCGTCGACAGACGTCGTGATCAGGAAATCGGTCCCCGGCGTGAGCGTCAGGAACGACAGCTGCTCCTTGTGCATGAGCGACTTGGAGTAGCGTTGCGACGCCGGCAGCGCCGACACAAACAGCTTCTCATGCTTCAGGACGCGCCGCTTCTTCTTGGGCGCGGCCGCAGCTGCGGTAGCCGACGGCAGCTGCGGGCCCATGTCATCATCAGAGTCGGAGTCGGAGTCGGAACCAGAACCTGACTCGGAGCCCGAGCCGTCTTCTGCGCTGCCCTCGCGCTCCGCAAACTCGGCATGGCTGCGCTTGTTCGGCTTTCCGTCGGCGCCGCCCGTCGGTGTGTCGGCCATGTCGGGCAGAAGGGAGCGAGGAGGAGGTACGGGGTCGGGGAGGGATAATGGGCGTCGTGGTCGAGGCTGTTGTCAGTGCTGAGGTCGAAGAGCAGACGTTGAAATTTCTTAGGCCAGCTGTGCCTGCCTTTGTTTGGTTTTGGCGCGGGAGGTGCGCTGCAGCCTCTAGTACCTTCATGACTGTTGGAAGGTCTCTTTTAGCGGAGAGGCTCGCTAGCTCTCAGGGCCTCGGGGCCTTTCCAGCCTTCAATATTGAGCCACGTAGTGTTATAAGCTTGACTTGCAAACGCTCATTATCGTCAGATCTCCTGATACCGAATCCGACTTTCCTTTCAGATCAGGACACTACTAGGTTGAATAGCTGCATTCGCGTGTTTAAATGCCGAGGCTGCCTCCTCTGTCAGGCACAAGACACGTTTCTAGTGGATCGGTAGAGGCCGGTATGATGTCAGGGCGCTTTTTAGCGGTAATACTACAGTACAGCGCTTGGCCAGCTAGTTAGTATGTCGTAGTTCCGACAAACGGCTACAGCGTGGCAGCCTCTTTTCCACACCCGCCTTCCTCTTCCGCGCTTCTCCCTTCCTTCCCTCTTTCCTTTTCCCATCTTCCCTCTTCGCACCCAGGAAGCGATTTTGCTGTCTTCAGCCCTAACGACAAAGCCTCACACGCCCGTCTTTCTATTCGACCGCACCCACACCGGCCGCCGACATGGATCCCCACCACCCGCTCCAGCGCCTGGCCTCGCCGGCGCGTTCGGCCTCTTTCGTCCTGCACCTTGCTGGCATCTGCTCGTTCCTGGCTTCGTTTGCCTACTTGCGCATGTTCCCGCAGCTGCCCGCAGACAGCTTCGGCGGCGACTTTCAATTCCTGACGATTCTCGGTCTGACCCTCTCGCTCGCCACGTTCGCCGTCGGCTACGCTGCCGACTTGTCGCTGTCGCGGCAGCTGTTCGATGCTAAGAACTTCCTGGCTGTCTGCGTCGCACCTCTCGAGGTGCTCATCAGCGTTCTCTACTGGACCCTCTGCACCATCGACCGCGACCTCGTGTACCCGCCGGATGTGGATGTCGCGCTGCCGCTGCTGCCCGACGTAGGCTTCCACCTGGCGCCAGCGCTGTTCCTGACGGCCGACCTGTTGCTGTTCAGCCCGCCATGGACGATCCGCTTGCAGGAGGCGTTGATTCTGAGCTTGTGTATTGCCTTCTTCTACTGGGCGTGGATCGAGTACTGCTTTAGTTTTAACGGATAGTGAGTCGCGACGTTTTCTGACACATGCCTTCCTGCTTCGGCCATTGCTAACGTCTCCCAGCTATCCGTATCCCATCTTTCAGATGCTCACGACGCAGCAGCGCGTCTTCTTGTTTGCCTTCTCGGCCATTCTCATGACTGGCAGCACTGTCCTGCTCAAGCGGCTGTACCACATACTCAACGGTGGCACTCCGTCGGGTTCAAAGGAGGATTGAGGGCCGGAGACGAACAGCCGAGCCGACGGACGGAAAACCAACATATGATCTAAAGCGGACTCCTGTAAGGGACACATGGCCATCCGACGTCTACGAAAGAACGTACCACCGCCGCACGGACACAATATACACAACCAGGATAGGATACAGGGTACGGCATACACAAACCGAGAGATGTCCGTGCCAAGACGAGTAGTTGTGAGGGAAGAAATACCAGGATATTTCAGAGAATCAAAATAGACAAGCAAAATAGATACCCACAAAGATCAATATAAGAACAGCAGATCACACCCACAGACCCCCTCTTGCGACCCCTCCGTGCAGATCAAATCAGAAAGTGCTGAAAGAACCACTCAACCATCTTCAACTGAAAACATGTATCGTTGGCAAGTATGGTCTCAAGTCGTCGTGGCCGTACACGGCTGCAAAGACAAGCCTGGAAGGCTGCACGTGTCAATGACAGCACCAGCGTGGCGGCTGTAATTGGCTAGGTTCATGGAAAGCCACAGTGCTGTTTTGTGGCCCACAGCGACCTACCCCTGTCCTCTCAACCCCACCATAGAAAAGCTGCATTTTATTTTGCATTTATTTCTGCGCGTATTTTAATATTTTAATTCCAGCCCGCCCGCACAGCGTTGACTCACGCCTAAATCGGACGAACAGAAACGACATGAAAATGACAAGAGGACGACAAGGCGTATGACCTTGGACTCTCGGCGCCCTGCGCGTGGCGACTCGTAGACCCCAATTGACCTATCACCCCTCCAAGTCGAACCCAAAAATATGAATATGAAAAAAAAAAGGAAAAAGGCCGGAGCCAATCCTGCGCACAGGTTTCTTTGATGTTCTTTTTGGCCCTCTTTTAACAAGCTGTAACTCTCTCGTCTTACCGTCTTTCCGTATATGAACATTTTTTGACATTTGACAACTTGTCTTGTTGTACTCCACTGTTCTTCTTTCTTCTACGATTGCATTGAAGTGTGAATAGAACAGGTACTCTTGCTTCTCTGTTCCTTCCTATTTTAGATCAGCCTGCCATTGCTCCGACGCCGCGCCGATTTATTTTGTTCACCGACCTGCTATTACGCCTTTCGTCTGCGCCCGTTCTACATTACCGTACTTCTCGCCATGTCTGTAAGTAACGGATGTTCGCTGGCGTTTTCGCTGGACCATCAGCTGCCACCATGACTGGTACTGGCTCTCGACTTGGAAGCTCTCTTGCTGACCTGATGCCGCCAGTCCTTCTACATTGAGAACAAGAACGTGGGCAACCGCGAGGAAAGCGAGGATTGGAGAAGTACTTAGCCCCGGCTCCTGTTGCTGTATTTTGTTTCGTCGTGTGTCCTTCGTTCAAAGTCTAATTGCTTCCGTCGTCTAGTTCGCGGATACAACCCCCTCACGCCGCCCGACCTGCTCCAGCACGAGATCAAGCAGACTCCTGCGTCCAAGAAGACTGTTGTCGAGGGCCGCAAGGAGGTCGAGGCCGTCGTCAATGGCCGCGATGCCAACGGCCGCCTGCTCGTCATCATCGGGCCCTGCTCCATCCACGACCCGGAGGCCGCCCTCGCCTACTGCGACATGCTCCTTGCTGAGAAGGAGAAGCACAAGAACGAGCTCCTGATCGTCATGCGCTCGTACCTCGAGAAGCCCCGCACCACCGTTGGCTGGAAGGGCCTGATCAACGACCCGGACATTGACAACAGCTTCCAGATCAACAAGGGCCTGCGGCTGTCGCGCCAGCTCTTTGTCGACCTCACGAGCAAGGGCATGCCCATTGCGAGCGAGATGCTCGACACCATCTCGCCGCAGTTCCTGGCCGATCTGCTGTCCGTCGGCGCCGTCGGCGCCCGCACCACCGAGAGCCAGCTGCACCGCGAGCTGGCCAGCGGCCTGAGTTTCCCTGTCGGCTTCAAGAACGGCACGGACGGTTCGCTGGGCGTTGCCATTGACGCCATTGGCGCCGTCAAGCACCCGCACCACTTCCTGTCGGTCACGAAGCCGGGCGTCGTGTCGATTGTTGGCACCGTCGGCAACGAGGACTGCTTCGTGGTCCTGCGCGGCGGCACCAAGGGCACCAACTACGATGCGGCGAGCATTGCCGACGCCAAGGCGGCGCTGAACAAGGCCGGCCTGCCCCAGCGGCTCATGGTCGACTGCAGCCACGGCAACTCGCTCAAGAACCACAAGAACCAGCCCAAGGTCGCGGCCGACCTGGCGGGCCAGATTGCCGGGGGCGAGCATGCCATCATGGGCGTCATGATCGAGAGCAACATCAACGAAGGCAACCAGAAGGTTCCCAAGGAGGGCAAGGCTGGCCTCAAGTACGGCGTCAGCATCACAGATGCATGCATACACTGGGACGACACCGTCGACGTGCTCAGTACTCTGGCAAATGCTGTGAAGCAGCGTAGAGAGGCCGCCAAGTCAGCGTAAGGTGGGACGAGGAGGGCATCTCGTTGCTGTTGTTGAACTTGCTGCTGCCGTGTCTTTATTGGCGTTAGGGAAAACAGTGGGAGGGTCTGGTTTAAAAGCTTTTCATTGTAGTTTTGTGCATTTTATAGAATCAAACACCGCATGCACTATCGTCCCCCTTTGTTAGCAAAGGCAGCCCGTGGAATTCTGCACAACCGAAACAGTACACAACTTGGTGATAGCTCTTGAAAACGGTGGTCTCAACAAGCTCAAATCGAGGCAAAAGTCGGCGCTAGTTCTCTGTAACGGGGCACATTATGTTGGCAGTAGCCCCCCACAGCTTCGCTAAAAGTCGGGGCGTGCTTTCCACCGTACGGCTATCAAACGGAGTGGACCGTTTCCATTCGACGCTCTGTGATGCTCCGTTTTGAGATTGCATGCGAAAGCTTCACAATTCTAAGCACAGTGGCTAGTTTTGTGAGGAGGCCACAGAGATTCGGTTACTTAGTGGTAATGAGGTAAATAGAGTCCTGAAGTAGCTCGATGAAGCTATCAATTAATATGATGCAAATGAAGGAAGCACATTTGAATGGAGATAAACGGTATCGAAACGGGAACCCGAAATCATTTGGAAAGAACTCCTCGACGGCCTGAGGCAGTAGGCTCTCACTAACCAGATAGTTTTGGTGCACCATACTTCCATTCCAGGCTCCTCGATTGGCGGGTGAATATTGTGGGGGATTTTTCGTTTGGTTTTCGCGCTGGTGAGCGATTAACTGCCCCTTTGCCCGAACACTCTCATTGCTCTGCTAATGTATTCACGTGCACGCCCTCGTGACAGAGCTAATGCCGGATGGACCAATGAGCGCCGGGCTAAACCGGAATTACTGGGCATTTGTGGAAGGAGTTGGGTGCCAGCTTCCCGTTTCCTCGCTCTGCCCGCTGTCCACCGCAAGCAATTTTCGAAAATTCCTTTGGCTTCTGAGAGCAATCCACCACCACCCACACAACACGACCTCTCTCACACCCGTCGACCGTCGTCACCCTCTTCCCTCTTGTGCGTGTCGCCCTTGAGAGACCCATTGGCAAACGTTGCGATTGCCATCGACGACACACTCAACCCGGGACACCTCCCCCCCTCTCCTCTCCCGTTCTCTTCCGTCGACGAGAAAGTCTACTTCGCCCAACATGTTCGCAAGGTCCAGCCTGCGGTCCACGCGGGCGTTTGCCGGCATCAATGTCACCAAGGTCAGCCTGTGCCCAATTGCCCTCGCTGCCGGGGCAAGCTGGGGAGAAATTGCTGTTGCCGGTCTGGGTTGTTGGACGGATCGATTGGCCACGGGCGGGATGGCATCTCGACGCGTCCCGATTTTGCACCTCCTCGACGGCCAATTGACCGAAGGAACACACCCAGCTACCGACACGACTACTTTCCCGGCTTGCTGAACCCCGGCATGAACTTGTTTTGTTCGTTCTTGTCAAGTGAACACCTCATTAACATCAAACAGCGCGCCACTTCTACGAGCTCCGGTGCCGCCGAGGCCTCGCCCCTGCGCCTGAACATCGCTGCCGCCGCGTCCACTGCCGTCGCCATCGGCTCGGCTGCCTGGTACTACCACCTTTACGGCCCTGTTGCCCAGGCGTCGGCACCGGCAGAGGAGGGGTAAGTTTATGCTTGTTTATGTTGGCGCGTTGCGGAGGCACAGGACAACATCGTCTTCCGAAGGGATATTCGGCCACGTGCCGATCGTACCTCATCGACAGCCAATGGGCGTCATATGGCATCGGGGTGTTGCCATGTACCGTTCATTGTTGTCTTCCAATATTACCTCGGCGCTGTGCTGTTGTCAGAGTCGAATATCGACAAATTCGAGAACATGTGCTAACAATGCGTTAGTCTCCACCCCGCCAAGTACCCCTGGGTCCACGAGCAGATGTTCAAGACCTTTGACCACCAGGCGTGAGTTCTTCCCCGTTGCCATGTCCTCCCATTGTGCTCAGCTGCAGCGCGCTAACTTCGCTTACCGCAGTCTGCGCCGTGGTTTCCAGGTCTACCGCGAGGTCTGTGCCGCCTGCCACTCGCTCAACCGTATTCCCTTCCGCACTCTGGTCGGCTCCGTCCTGACCGTCGACGAGGCCAAGGCTTTGGCTGAGGAGAACGAGTACGACGCCGAGCCCAACGACCAGGGTATCATCGAGAAGCGTCCCGGCAAGCTGTCGGACTACCTGCCCGACCCGTACCCGAACGAGGAGGCCTCGCGTTTCGCCAACGCCGGTGCCCTGCCGCCTGATCTGTCGCTGATTGTCAAGGCTCGCCACGGTGGCTGCAACTACATCTTCTCGCTGCTGACTGGCTACCCCGAGGAGCCTCCCGCAGGCGCCCAGGTTGGTGCTGGCCTCAACTTCAACCCCTACTTCCCCGGCACCGGCATCGCCATGGCCCGTGTTCTGTTCGACGGCCTCGTCGAGTATGAGGACGGTACCCCGGCTTCGACGTCTCAGATGGCCAAGGATGTCGTCGAGTTCCTGAACTGGGCGGCCGAGCCCGAGATGGACGACCGGAAAAAGATGGGCATGAAGGTGCTTGTTGTGACGTCGGCTCTGTTCGCCCTCAGCGTTTGGGTCAAGCGGTACAAGTGGGCCTGGCTGAAGTCGCGGAAGATCGTCTACGACCCTCCCAAGGGCTCGTCGGGTGGTCACTAAGGGGTGACTGCGTCCTCCTTTGATGACAGGATCAGACGAGAAGCGACGTCACCACAACACAAGAACATAAAACACAACTCTCTCCCTCTCTCTCTTTCTCGACACGAGACTATATTTGACAGGGGCGATATTATATACACAGCAAAAGAAAAAACTTATCTGCATGCAAATTCATAAAAACGATACAAGAACGGTGGCTGGCGACGGGGCGGAAACCTAGAGCGCGACATTGTTTCGGTGGTGGGGAGAGGATTCTTTGTTTTTCTCAGAAGAACTCCTGTCCCCTTGCTTTCTTTGGTTTTTTTCCTTAATTTTACTCTATTTCTTGTTTTTGCGAATGGTTGGCTGAACTTGGGGCTGGTGGACGGTAGAGGAACGCCCTGGACGTTGGGGAGAGGGAAGATTGAGGGCGATGGAACTAGGACGGAGATGTCTTTTTCTTTTCTTTTTTTCTCCAACCTATTCCGTTGCTCTCTTCTGCCTCGAACTGTGTATCTTTACTCTAAAAGGAGAAGAAACCATTTAACATCATTTAACAAAGGGTGCGTAGGAACACATGAAACGTCGGTGGCGGGCCGAAGACGATACAACGATGTGAGACATGAACTGCCGTAGAATCATACATCTTTTTTATGTTTAAAACTCTTTCAGTTGTATAAATGATTTTACTGATTTGCAAATTCTGCGAAGTTGGCCGACTTTGAAGTATGTTTATATGTTCATGCAATAATTATTTAAATTTCGCCAAAAAAACAATTTTTTTTTTTTTTAAAAAAAAGAAGAACTGTATTAATCTAACGATTCAAAAAGGCAACTGTTATATCAATGGCAACGAATATGAGAGCAAAAGACGTTGGTGCTCTGGTGGTGACTTGTGGTCTTGCCTGGTCCAAAACCGTAACAGCCCACTAATATTGGAAAGTTCCTGCCTGTTTTTGCTTTCCGCCAGCGCCTTCCGTACGCGGTACAAGGCCTGACCTGGATAAACAAACAGCCTTCAAACTTCGCCTTCTCCAGATTCCTGCCACAGCCAACAAAACAACAAAATGATTTATCACGATTGGAAGTTCTGACCACCGACGGAATGGAGGGTGCATCCGCATCAGTTGTTGACGATCCAGGATTGACATCTGCGTCGCCCTCGCCGTTTAATCTCGACGCAGCCAACGACCTGCTCGCAGCGTTTGACGTTGATGATCCTGAATCACGAGCCTTTCTGGCCGGGCTGCTCGCCTCGGGGACGGTGCCACCCGAAGAAGTCGAGCTTCTCGAAGGAATCAATGGGGTCGGCGGAGGGAAGACGGCGGGCCGGAGCTCAAAATTACGGCCAGAAGTGGGATCAGAGCCACCATCGACATCGGCATCGCCTTCTCCAACCCCTTCTCCAAGCAAACGGCCGCGAAAGCAACAGACACAACAAGGTCGGACAGTTGGAATACTCGGCAGGGAGAAGAAACCAGGAAAACGCCGTGGAGGTGACACTTCCGCGGTCGGTCTGAAGGCAAGTGTCTCGCCGTTCTTTGCAGACGATGTGTCGTCGTCAGGCGATAGCAATGAAGAAGAAGTGAAGGGAGAGGAGGGCCATAGAGATACTAGGGGCCTGGATGCGGCTCAAGAACAGCCAGGTTTGCCAACCGCGACATTCACAAGAACCATGGTCATTTGCACGAAAAGGACCGTCGTGGGCGGAAATGCAGAGCATCCAGAGCCGATAACGACGATACCGTCGCGGACCAAGGATATGCAGTCAGCAGAGGCGGCAAAAGAAGCAAAAGCATCAAAAGCCAAACCACATAAATCAAGGAGACCGTCACCGACCAAGACATCAAATAGTGAACCGCAGTCATTGGCACGACCAACATCTCCAGTGTGCTTGTCTCCCGTCTCGTCAGCCTTGCTGAGCACACCGAAGCGGAAGCGAGAAACGACATCCTGCTTTTTTACACCTCCTTCGTCACACCACCGGCGGCGACGCGAAGAAGGCGACAGCAGCTGCAGTGAAGATGACCCTCCGTCATATCCCCCCGACGCTTCTTCACCAGTACCCGTTGCTGTCCCGGAAAAAACGAAGAAGCCTGCCCGCCCTCGCCGTGGAACGGTCTCGGCCCTGCCGTTCCCGCGCCTCGACGCGCCTCATTTTGGACTGGTGCAGGAACAGCTCTCGGCCGACCCATTTTGGCACATGATTGCGCTTGTCTTTTTGACACGCGTGTCTGGACATGTTTCACTGCCGGTGTTCTGGGCCCTCAAGGCCCGGTTCTCCTCTCCACAAGCACTCGTTGACGCCGACCCCCGTGACCTTATGGCTATGGTGCGACACCTGGGTATGGCGACGGTGCGGTGCACAGCCATCCAGAGGTACGCACGCGGTTGGCTAAAGCGCCCACCACAGCCGGGCGTTTGCACTACGGTCAGGAACTATCCGACACCGCCAGAAGGGAACCCCGAAGAGCCTGGGCGGACTAGTCAGCGCCAGAAACCAGAGCCTGGGCGTCCTCTTGGTTCACAGTGGGAGATTGGCCACTTGACCCAGGGTACATATGCGGTCGATTCGTGGCGGATCTTTTGCCGGGACGTGTTGCTGGGTCGGTCGAATGATTGGAAGGGTGACGATGGCGGGTGTATGTCTGGTCGCCGCCGGCGGGAGGAGGACGAAGATGACATTACGTCCGAAGGCCCATCCGAGTCAGGCTGGGATGCTGGGCGAAAGTTCTCTCCAAAGTCTGACGAGCCTTTCCAGCCCGAGTGGATGCGGGTGCTGCCGCGTGACAAGGAGCTGCGAGCATGTCTGCGGTGGATGTGGATGCGGGAGGGGTGGGACTGGGACCCACGAACGGGAGAGCGGACGGTGCTGAGAGAAGATCTTCGACAGGCGGTGGACGAAGGCCGCGTGGCATACGATACCAAGGGACAATTGCAGATTGTCGAGGGAGATGTCAAGCGGGAAAATAAGCGGGAGAGGCTGGATGTGATTTTATGAGGACAAAATACGACAATGTACGACTGGATGGAACTACCACGAGATATGAATATGCCATCTATGGATTGTCCTCGTCAAAGTCGGCGGGCAGGCCGAGGCCGGGCACCGCACAGAGCCTCTCCTAGCAGGGCAGCCAAACAAATACAACAAATACATCCTAAGACCCAAAGTACCAGACGAGACTGTAGCATTGGCACAAAACTCATTCGGTCACGGTGTCCACGGTCATGACGATGGGGCGGCTTAATTGCGATTATCGACTGGACCGTGTGTTGTTGGAGAAGGCTGAGATATTCCTAAAGAGGAAGCAAAAGACAAAACAGCAAATGGGATACGGCAACCGACGATTCCAGTGCCGTTGAAGTGTGAAGTTTTGCGGTCACTGATTGCGTACTTACAGGCGATTCGAAGCATACGTAAGACGGCGAAACACAGCGGCTGGCTGGCTGGCAAGGTAAGTGATCAGCCAAACTCGCACCAAATGTTCAACCCTGCATACAATTTAAGCACGAGAAGTCTCCAGGAGCAGATGCGCATATTTACTTTGGATCCATGATAATAATACGTGAGTAAATTAGTAAAATATGGCGCTTTTATCTACTTCGCGCTTACTCCGTACAGGCTCTAGGTGAAGTTCCTGATTGGGAAGGCGCACCCAGCCAGCCAGAATCCAACACCGCTGACAATAGACACTGGTTGTCTCGAGACATGCGTTACGTAGATGTGTCCTTGGGCCGGAAGTCTTGGCTGCAGTGAGCCGTGAGCCTGTTGTCGTCGATGCATTTCCCTTTTCCTTCTTTTATCGGGATCCTTTTCGAAGGAACGTTTTCCGACCTCTTCCCGTATCTTTCGGGACATGCATGCCGGGTTCGTCCAGAGACAAGTTGGCATTATTTTGTGCTGTCCATCTGTTGCTCTCGGTCCTTTGTAAAGCAGCAACCATCGAACCATTGCCAAGCTTGCCTCCTCGGTTGTCTGCGGTTCACTTGATTTTGGTGCTGTGCGACGTTTGTAGGTTCTCGTGTTGAAACGGCAGTCGGCCCAAAACGGCAGTCGGAGGCTGAAGAAACAGCCAATCAGACTCCTCTACTTAGACCCACGCCGGCCCGGTCCCACCACATACACTTCTCTTCAATCCCCCCCAAGCGACACCAACGGCCCCAGCAGCCGCGACCGCCGGCCGGCGATCCACACTTGTGCCGTTGGGTAGCCGTTCCGGGCACGACTCTTCCGTGCCTCGCCGATTTTTTCGATTTTCTCCCCCGCTCCCTCAGCATGGCTAGGAAAATATCTGCCCACATCCCTTTCCCCCCCCTCGTCCGTTGGATATCAATGTCTCTCCCATTCCGCCGTAGTGGATTCTTCTGCAGGCGTATTGGACACACATCCCGGCACACTGCCAAATGTGTTTTCTTTTTCCCGCTCTTTTCGTCTTCTCCTGCAGACTGTGACGGAAGAAGTCTGCTTATCTTGTGGCTGCATCCGCCTTGTGTCTTGATCTTCCCAAACGGGTCCTTGACGTTCAAACCCGGTCCAACCAGATAACACGGCAACACGCCGATTTTCCACAGTCTGTTTTCATTTTCGTTTTTGTTATCGTTTTGCTTCACGTTTCTTTCGTGATTGCACTCTACGATGCATTGCCTCCGGATAACAGTCGAGTCGTCTTGGCGCCCGTTCGGGAGCGTACTTTCCTTTCTCGTCTTGGCCTTGGCCTGGGCTGCCCCTTCTCCGCGGTCTAGTAGAGCCTTCGAGTCATGTAGTTTTGTAGCCGATCGAACGCATCCACCTTGTGCGCCACCGAGAGCCGCACGCTCTCGCCACCTGGACGTTGTATCAGTCCTCTATTTTCGTGTCAACGATGTCAGAGGCACGGCCATGAAGCCTTCCGCCAGTGAGTATTGTGGAGCTACGCGGCTCGCCCCTTTTCTCCGTCGCCGTTATCCATTCTCCCCTAGAGTCACTACCAGGCGTTAACGTTTGCCTCCACAACAAGGCCGCTGAGGCCGCTCTGGCTACGGGTTGGCGCCGCCGACCACCGTCATTAAACGCCGTGTTCTTGGACGGCTTGAGCTAGTTTGCGTTGCTTTTGCTGTTTTTTTTTTCCTTGGCCCCTTGGTTCTATAATGCATATTTAGCTGTCACGATGCGCCCCGTCTCCTTTTTTTTGCCTCGCCTTGTTTTGTTTGTATGCTTTATCTTCGTCTTCTGATTATTTTTATTTTTATTTTCCTTATGTCTTTGATTTCATATCTCTGCCGACTCTCACTGGGATCGTCACCCCACAACACCTTCAAGATCTCTCCAAAATAATAATCAAATCTAAACGGCCACCCATTCTTCTTGCCGTCGACGCCGCCTCCTTTGATCCATTTATTGTTTTGTACCGTCTCGTAAGGTGCACGACTTCTTCGGCATTTCTGTCATCGTCCTTTGATTACGACCGCCGTCATCATGGCAGATGCACAATCATCCACGGCGGACCAGCTGTTCGTTCGTCCCACTCAGACATCCCACACCGATTCGCAGCCCCCCTCTTGCGAAGACACGCAGCATCAGATGGACTCGCAGAAGGAAAAGGATTCTACGAGAAACCATGTACTTCCGACGACGTCAAAACCATCAACATCATCACCTGCAGAGAGCACCGGGTCAGAAAATGCTGTCTGGAGCCATCTGATGGCCACCGTCCGGCCAACGCTGCTGGCTGAAATCGAACTCATCCTTCTTACCATCTTCACCGGCATGCAAGGTAAGCCAAGGCCGTGGTTACCAGGCACCCTGACTCTTCGAAGACTAACACCACTGTCACAGATGCCGTTTCCTTCCCCGACTACCACTGCTTCGCCTCCAACCAGACCGGCAACACCGTCTTCCTCATGCTCGCCCTTGTGCTGCCGCACCTCAACGGCGAAATGTTCTTCACTGCCAACATCGGCGCCGCGCTCGGCTTCTTTTTGGCCGGCGGCTGGCTCACGGGCCAGCTTAGCCACATCATTGGTCCCCGCAACCGCCTCTGGCTGATTGCTTGCAACTTTTGGCAATCCGTCCTCGTCTTTGGTGCTGGCGCCATCCAGCATGTGTATGGCATCGATATGGTGGGCAGCCGCACCATCGCCGTCATCAGCCTGCTGGCTTTCGCATCCGGCAGCCAGGTCGTCCAGTCTCGCTCGCTGGCCATGACCGAGATCAGCACCGCCATGGCCACCGCTGCCTGGGTCGACTTGCTGATCGACCCCAAACTGTTTGTCCTCTCCAACCGCCCGCGCACCCGCCGCGTCGTCTTTCTCTTTGCCCTCGTCGTCGGTGCCCTTCTCGGCGCCGCCATCTACCGTACGGTCGGCTCGTCCGTGGCCATTCTCGTGTCGGCGGGTGGTAAGATGCTGGTGGCGATCATGTACCTCTTTAACGAGGCTGAGAAGCCCAAGGAGGAGGACTCGACCGTGTAAGGGTGGTCTTGGTTTCCCTCTTCGTACCCCCCTTTACTCGTCCTTTATTTGTTTCCTTTTTCTGCAAAAGCGTTGCGATTGATCCCGAGCATTTCAATAATTTTGAGCGCTTTACACTTCTGTTTCTTCAAAAGAAACCTTTCCCTGTGAGATGATAACATGATCGATACCTGGCAATGAGTTTCAAACTGGCGATGCATTTACAGATAGACACCTAAAACGTTAATCAATAGCTGAAGCTATCTCAATTAGCTGCAAACAACACAAACACAAAAAGACAAAAGTACCAGTTGTTCCTTCCTTGTGACTTGCTTTCGCATCGTGCCTGTCGTGACTTCTTATTTCATCGTGTCTTGTGTAGCTTCCTATTTCGAATATTTAGGATTAGAACAGAAGTCACGGCTCCAAAAAATACTCTAAAGTGGCAACCGCCTGTAGGCGACCATTTTAGCGGGGCCTTTTTATGGGCGAGAAGGCGCGACACAACAACTAAAGCGGGACCACCTGACTACGCGACTGGCACAGCTTGACGCGCTCTACGCGGTCCAGAGAAACACCCTGCTGCGTCCTCCACCGCCGCCACATACAGGGCAGGTGCAATGCACGGTCGGAGGCGAACCAAGACACACACCTCAGGCAAGTGCAACCGCCCAAATTGACACTCGGAAAGCAACAGCGACCAGCAACACGCCCCAGGTTTAGATCCTGTCGAATCTCGACATCCAATCCCTCTTCCCTATTCTCTGCCTCACCCTCTTTGCGTATAACTCACCACGCACACGCCCTTAGACACCCATACACACCCGCATACACGCTCGCGCCAACGCTTTCTTCGAGGGCTTCCTCATGTCGGGCGGCAGTCACTGGGACGGCTGTTCCTCGACCCCGGCCCCATGACGCTCAACAACTTGTCTGAACAGCTTCCTTGGCTCTTGCGGAACCCAAACTCGACTCGTCCTGCGGGATTCCCGACCTCACTGTCCTCCGCCTCGTCGGCTGCGGCGTCGTCTCTGGCGCGGCCCGCCGGGGCGTCTTCTACGGCCGTGTCGACCACCACGCCGATAGTCCACTCGCCCACTACAGCTGCCTTGATATCAACGTTCCGGAAAGAGCCTGCTTTGTCCAACAACAGCCACAACAGCAGCAATACGACCGCCGTAGCAGCTACGCCGCGCACCTCGAATGCGACCGGCTCATTAACGCCTGCTCTCACTGGCACCACGCTCTACCCGTCCATGCGTTCGACACTGATCGCCAACTCCGATGTTCGTGACAGTCATTCGCCAGACGCCACCCTTCGAAACAAAGCAGCGATCAGAGCTGCAAGGCAACAACCACCGCCACCGCCGCCTTTTCCCTCGGCCCATATCATATCTAACACAGACAGCACAATGGGATCCAGCACGCCTAGCAGGAGACTGCAGCAGCCGCAGCAGCCGCAGCAGCCACCATTGACCACCACTGTCCCGCCTCGTCGCCCACCACGCCATACGCCTCGACAAATCGTACTACCACCCTCACGCAACAAGACGCAGCTACGCGTCCACCGGGCACGGCCAACGCTCCGAGTCGGGCGACACCAGCTGTACCCTCGTCGCACACCAGGTGGTCCAAGACTCCCATTGCTCCGTCTCCGTACGCGCTCGACTTTGGCTCTGACCTTGACCCTGACGACTTCGATTCCATTGTCGACCTGACCACGGACGACAACACGCCATCATCTTCGTCCCCTCATGCTGCACCGCGCGAAGATGTCCCGTTATGGCGGGAAGATTATGCTTCGAGGCCGGAGCCACGCTCAATTGCAAAACGTGGCAAGAAACGCAAGAGCGCTGACGTGAACGGGCCGCCTGAGAAGGCCACGCCGACGGCAAAACGAAAGGCACGTGTGGAGGAGCGGCAACGAAGCAGGGCAGTCGAAGACGAGTACGAGGACGACGACTCTGGCAGCATAGGTGATTTCCCAGATGTGAACGACCTCGTTAGCATGGTGTCGTCATCACCCATTCGGAACCGCCAAACACCGGCCAAAGCACCGGGTAGGACGCCGGCGAAAACACCTGCAAAATCAGTAGCGCCGACAAAGACACCGAGAAGATCACCGGTGCCGCCCGTTGAGGAAAGCCTGCTGCCCTTACAAACGTCCGTTACGCCGCAGAAGAAGCAGAAACGCGATTCTACACGCAGCGACATTGTCATGGACTCGGAAGACGAATTCGTGACACCGCCCACTCGAAACGCGTCGTTTGTGACCTGTCCGAACGACTCAGTGATGCAAGATGGGAACGGCGACGAGATTGACGAGGAGGATGACAACAATGGTCCCCCATCACCACACTCACCTACCCTCCGAACCGCACAACGCATGGCCGACACGCCTCACAAAAACCCATCTTTGGACCGTGGAACAAAAACGCCTTCGAGGTCGAGAGCTCTTGTGGCTGAGACGGAGCCCGAACCCGAAGCGGGAGAGGAAGATGCTCCAATGGATAGCATTGTGCACACCCAGCAACCTCCTGTTCTGGCAACAGCACCGGCTCCACAGTCGGAACCGGAACCTGCTCTCGAGCAGTCTGGCCAAGACACCGACGAAGGTATGGCAGCAACGCAGCGACCGGGTGTCTTGGCCTACTGGCCAGCTTTGCGTTATAAGCAGCATGGTCTAGAGAAAAGACTCCGCCTTAATACAATGGAGTACACCAAAGCCCTTCGCGAGAAGTGGTCACCAGAACAGCGCATGAAGATCAAGGGAGACAAGGAACCTCTCTTGAAGGAGAAGCAGGCGCTCGACAATCTTGTCAATGAGTTCAGGTCGTATGCGACCTTGTACAACGACCAAGAGGCCTTGCTCCACACCATCACCGAAGCCTATCAAAGCCACCAAGACACCGAAGAGGAAGAGGCCCGTCTCGACCAACTGACGGCCGAGCTTCAAGACTGCGAAGAAACACTCCGGGGACGACTATCTGCTGCCTCGATCGACCCGTCAAGCTGCCCAGCTGACTTTGCAGCCGGCAGCCCGAACGATCGAGTGGTCGTGCCAGCAACCCAGCACCCAGAGGGTTACGTGGCCCCAAATATGTCTCGGAACAATGCAACGACACCTGTGACGCCCTCGCAAGTTGTTCTGCAGACCCAGATGCCGCCGCCGCGACAGCCACTACATCAGCAACCGCGCCAAACCCGTGACGTCGAAATCTTCCGCCCTCCGCCGCCACCTCCCATGTCTCGACAACCACCCAACCAAAATATGCCTGACTCCTTTGATGACGACGATTTGTTCAACGGCGTGGAAAACCTACCGCCGATGCTCACCTCAAACTACAACACAGGTCCCTCTCGACCGCAGCAAGGTCGAGGCCCTGACTTGTTTAGTGATTTTAGCGACGATGTGGAGATGCTCCAGGTGGCCGAACATTTTGAGATGCAGCACTCGTCCAGTGCTGAGACGACCTCAAGACGACCAACGCCCGCTCGCCAAACACTGGCACCGACGTCTGGCAATGCGGGCCCACCTCCCAGAGAACTCTCTCGAGGCGCAAAGAAGTCAGCCGCTCTTATTCCTCGGGCGAGTCAAAAAGCTTCCATGCCTCCCGAGTTGATGCGCTTTGGCTGGTCCGAAGATGTCCGGCGGGCCCTCAAAGACCGCTTCCGCATGTCTGGTTTCCGCCACAACCAGCTCGAGGCCATCAATGCCACCCTGTCCGGCAAGGATGCATTCGTCCTCATGCCCACAGGAGGCGGCAAGTCTCTTTGCTACCAGCTGCCCGCGGTCGTTGGCAGTGGCAAGACGCGCGGTGTCACGATTGTGATCAGTCCCCTGCTGAGTTTGATGCAAGATCAGGTCGACCACTTGGCCAACCTCAACATTGCGGCCAACTCGTTTAACGGCAGCATGCCAGCGCCCGCACGCCAATTTATCATGGACCTGTTCCACAAGGAGAACCCTGAGCACTATTTGCAGCTCCTTTATGTGACGCCCGAGATGGTCAACAACAACCAGCGGTTCATCAACTGCCTGGGTACACTGTACCGGAACAAGAAGCTTGCACGCATTGTCATTGACGAGGCGCATTGTGTGAGCCAATGGGGCCACGACTTCCGACCCGACTACAAGGCCCTGGGCCGCGTCCGACGCCAGTTCCCCGAGGTGCCCGTTATGGCTCTGACGGCAACGGCAACGCCCAACGTCATTGTCGACATCCAGCACAACCTGAGCATTGGCAACTGCCAGGTCTTTTCGCAGAGTTTCAACCGGCCCAATCTCTACTACGAGGTCCGCGTCAAAGGTTCGGGCTGCATCGACAACATGGCCGAGATGATCAGGACCGACTACAACGGCCAGACGGGCATCGTGTACACGCTTTCGCAAAAGTCTACGGAGAGCATTGCCAAGAAACTCTGCGACAAATATGGCATCTCGGCCCACCATTACCACGCCGGCATGCCCGCCGAAGACAAGGTCCGCATCCAGCGCGACTGGCAGCGGGGCGTCATCAAAGTTGTCGTGGCCACCATCGCGTTTGGTATGGGCATCGACAAGCCAGACGTGCGCTTTGTGGTTCACTACTACCTCCCCAAGAGCCTCGAAGGTTACTACCAGGAGACGGGTCGTGCCGGCCGTGACGGTCAGCAGTCGAATTGCTACCTGTACTTTGGCTACGGTGACATCAAGAACCTGCGCAAGTTTATCACCGACTCGGACGGTAGTGAGGAGCAGAAGCAGCGCCAGCGGGAGATGCTGAACCGCATGGTCGACTTTTGCGAGAACCAGCGTGACTGCCGCCGCACTGAAATTCTGCGCTACTTTGGCGAGAGCTTCGATCCGGCCGAGTGCAAGAAGACGTGCGACAACTGCAAGAGCGACAGCAAGTTCAATCTCACCGACTTCACCAAGTATGCCGTGGCGGCGCTGCGTATCGTTGAGGCCTTCAAGCTTGCCACCCTGGTCCAATGCGCCGAGGCTCTCATGGGCAGCAAGAGACTGCCAGAAGACCATCAAGAGCGGTTGGGGGATATCTATGGCATTGCCAAGCACCTGAAGAAGCAGGATGTTCACATGATGATCTACCGGCTTCTCGCCGAGAACGCTCTGCGGGAAGTGAACAAAGTCAATCGGATGGATTTGGCCATTCAGTATTTTGAAGTACGATTCCCTTCCCTCCTGCCGTGACCGAATTTTGGTTCTCGAAACGAACACATCTAACATTATCTCTCTAGCTTGGTTCTTGTGCGGACGATTTCTTCCATGGCAGGAAGAAGCTTCAGGTCGTAATTAAGGTTAACGACATTGCGGCCGCCGTGACAGCAAAAACGAAGACAAAGAAGGCCGCCGCCAAGGCCGACGACAGTGCGACGACGAAGGCAACTAAGAGAACAAAAGCAACCGCGAAGAGCAAGGCAGTAGCTGGCTCGTCAACGGCCGGAGCAGCTGCCAAAAAGAAGCGCAAGACGCCGGCGGCCGTTCTCGACGAAGCCGGTGTTGAGGACGATGAGAACGACGGTGATACCGATTTTGAAAGTTTTGATGGCCCTGTGCACCGAAATGGCTACGCCCGGGACAACTTCGTGGTTTCGGATAATGAGGAAGACGTCATCATTGACGAAAACGATGACGACGACGCCGCTTTCGAGGCACTGCCGCCAAGACGGCTAGTCGCAACATCAAAGGCGCGCCAGGTGCAGCAGCTCCAGCAATACGCGTATCAGGACACCGGCCAGAGCCGGCCGGTAAGAAAGAGCCAAACAACCCAGCGGCAACGGCGTCTTGAGGAGCTGGGCGGGCCTATTGCGCGCGACTCCCGACTGACAGAGGCAAACATTGACCCGATCCATGCCGACATCATCGCCCACTTTGCCGACGAAGCCCGGCGGCTTGAAGAGAAGATTCGCAACGAAAAGGGTCTGCGCATTCTCTTTACGGAGCGGCAACTGCGTGAAATGGCCATTTGTTGGACCGACACCCTGGACAAGATGCGGCGCATCCCGGACATTGATCCGGACCACGTGCGTCGGTACGGCAACAAGTTTTTGCCTTTGATCAAGCGAAACTACTCCATGTACCAGGAGATGATGGGCGCGGGTGCCGAGGAGGAAGGCGATGTGGAAGACGATGGTGCCGGCTACGACAGCCCTGTCCTGGGTCCTGTGACTGCAGCACGACGAGGTGGCGGCGGAGCGCCTTCCAAGGCGCCCTCGCAAGCCGACCTCGATGCCGTTGTCGATCTGATCAGCTCTGATGAAAGCGATGACGATGACGACCCTGGTGCTGGCGGCAACGACAATGGGTATGGAGGCGGCGGCATCATTTCGACATCATCGCATGCAGCCGATACGTGGCGCTCCCAACTCGAAGCACTACAGAGCCAGCCACCCACCAAGGGAAGCCGAGGCGAAGGCCGGAGCGGCGGTGGCTCGCGCAAATTCAGCAAGGGCGGACGCAAGACATTTATGCGCCGTGGCGGCAGCCGCAGTGGCAGTGGCAGCTACTCTCGCGGCAGCCGAGCGGCCAGCGGCGGCGGTGGTGCCAACGGCGGCGGCGTGCTGAAGCGCAAGTCAGCAGCATCGTCGGGCGGTGCAAGCAGCAGTCGAGGAAGTGGTGGGAGTGGAATAGGGATGATGCCGTTGTGATTTTGCGATTCTGTGTGACAAGAATCCGTCTTCTTTTCCTGTCTTCTTACCAGTGCATATTTTGTTATTTGTTTGCATTAGAGGACCAGATATGCTGTACAGCTTTTCATCAACGGAGTTTACTGTTTTGCTATTCCCATTTACCGCGTTTACTATTCACGACAGCAAAGGCGTCTACATAACGGGAGCGGCAACATCGCACAAACGGTCAGTGGAAGGAGAGACGAAAGCGCTGTCCTTTTTTTCACTACGATTATATCAAAGTCAAACTACATCATTTTTTTCTTCATTCCAAACAAAGTCGCAGGCATCAAATCACTGTAACGATGGATATTTTTGTTGTTACAATTTTTATTTTTATAAAAAGGTGATTGGCGGAGCTGCTATACCTTTCTTGGTCTTTTTTCCTTCTCTTCTTTTCTTCTCCCGCCCACACGCCACACAACAACTGAACCTCGTGCCCGGGCTCGTCTTCTGGTATATCTTACACGACAAGTAGAAAAGGTTTTGTAAGAAAAAGGTATAAAAAAAGACATGGGATGGTTCGTCGTGAATAAAGACAAATCATTGCAGGAGACGTATTAATTAGGTGATTGCACAAATCAGTCGAACGCTCGCTCGAGAGAACAATACAAATGCTGTGCTGCGCTGTTGCTTGTGCTACATGAGCCATAAGATTCGTTCCTGTGCGTTCATCCGTTTTTTTCGGTTCCTTTTTGAAAACTGTCGTCCTTGTTCCCTTCCCATGGGAATTCATTTTCACAAAGGAAAATGTTAGAATTATAGAAATAGATGGCAAAAAGAAGACAGAGACGAGTAAAGAAAGGAGGTAACCGCCAGGGCTTTGCAAAACCAAGAGAATGAGAATAGCAGCTAGAAAAGGTTGAGATTTGTGTGATCTGTTGGTATCCGGCAACCCAAAACAAAACAGACAGAAGACAGAAAATGATAAACGAGAAAGAGAAAAGAGCAAAAGAAGCGGAGTTGCGTCTGGTTTGTGTGGAGCAAAAAAAAAACAAAGACAAAGACTCGCTTGCACGCGCGGAGCAAAAAAAAAGAAGAAAAAAATAGCAGAAAATCAGCGACAAAAGAGGCCAAAAAAATTAAAGTAGGTAGATGGTAAAAGCGAGTGGTCGTTTGCGTATGGGGAGAGTGAGGAAAGGAGTCATTGGAGGCGAGAAGCGTGTGATGAGTTGGCACTTATGGTCTCCACTTAGGTTTTCCATTGGGCTTCGGCTCGACGGGCTTTTTGCGCATAGCAAATCGTGCGCCAGCTATGGCCTGAGGCGACTCACGCCCAGAGATGGTGCCCTCTCTCGGACGCGGCGCAGGAAGCAAGCTGTTTCTCCTGGAGGCCGCCATGGAACTAGCAGGCCGTTGAGGCGTCACGTTGGGGGAGGACGGCAGGTGGACCGAGGGCGGCTGCATTGATGCGCGACGATTGGATGTAGCCGGCGGCGCGCTTGAGTGAGCAGCCAGGCGCGGCGGACGGTAGGGCGGTGCATCGCGGAAACCAGGTGGGTCGTGAGACGGCGAGCCATCAGCCTGTGCAGCAGGCGACGACACACCTCTGCTGAGCGGACTGCGCATGGGCAGCCGAGAACTGAGACTGGATGTTGACCGCGGCGTGCCCGTGACCGATCTCCGCGTTGCACTGGGCGGCGTTTTCGCGTACGGGCTCGGCGTCGTAAGGCTCATCGGCTTGAAGTTGTGGCCGGTATCGATGCCGGTCGTGGACGTGTTCCACCGGGGCCGGTTGTCTATTATAGAAGGTGCCCGCGGAGGCTGCCCAGACACGTGTTTGCTGACAGGAGTCACAGAACCCTCGCGGCCCGGAGAGGACACTGAACTGCCACCACCGGGACCAAATGAGCTTGAGAAACGGTATAGCGGTTTTCGGGCCTGGGCAGCACCGAGAGTCACTGATGACGAGATAGAGCGTCGGGCAGCAGGCTGTGGAAGGTGGGTTCCACCCAGATTTGAGCGGCGGCGGTTGTTGGTCGGCGTTCCGTTCACGTCCGCCAGCTTGGCTGCCAGACGCTTGCTGCTGCTGTTATCCAAGCCGAGGGTCGACATGATGACGGACGACGGCGGCGAGCTCTGCGGCGTATCGCGGCCACTACCAATGGTCGACCGGTCGTTGGAAAGCATGCTGGAGATGGAGTCACGAAGCTGCTGGTTCCGTTGCTCGTCAGAATGCAGCTCTTCAACCGCCACGTTGATCTCGTGCATCTGGTCCCGCAGTTCATCCCACTGGCTTTGCAGCTCCACGTGCAGACGCAAGATCTCGCCGTTCAGGGTGAGGCGGTCCTTGACACCCTTGTCAATAATCGCAAGAACACGCTCAATGGCGGGGCCGTAGTGTGTCTTCTTGGTTTCGTAGCTCTCGATCTTCTTGACCATAACAGGCTGGTTTGTGAGGAGCAAGCCCATATCCAGAGCCTCCTTAAGCCTGGCCACACTGCGCTCCACGGACTCGTACATCTTCTGAGCTTGCCGGGCGGCGCCGCGGAAGACAGTCACCCAGCGGTCCTCGCCAAGTTCCTTGCGCAGCGACTCTGCATCCTTCTCCAGCTTCTTGTACGTGCCGTCGAGGCCAGCGCGGCGCATTTCGAGCTCCTCGCAAGCCGTGGGGAAACATGACGAGGCGCGTGTTTCGAACACCGAGAGGCGCATGGGCAAGAAATCCAAAGAGGCGCGCAGCGGTTGCATACGGGCGAACAAAGCTAGCAGACTGGAGTCATCCTGGGAAATCGTCGGCGTGGTACTTTGCGCCTCGGGCGAGGCCGGCGTGAGAGGGAAGATGGACAGGCTGTTGCGGTTGTTGGCAGACGAGGTTCTCGACAGGGAGACATTCGGCGACAGCTGTTGTTTGTTCTGGGTTTCTTCGACAATCGTCTCCAGGTCACCAATGTCGACGCCACCGCCCTCTGCAAGAGATCGGTGGCGTCGTTCCTCCATCTCAAACACGAGACGACTCAGTTCCTCCATTTCATTCTGGATGTCGCCCAGGACCATGCTCCAGAGCTCCTCCCACTCCATGGCAATCTCGACCTGCGCCTTGACGCTCTGGAGCGCGCTGCGCATGCGACCCCACTCCTCCATGATGGACTCCATCTGGTAGACGGCGCGTTGTAACTCGTCGCGCGTCACGTTGGCAATGTCGGGGCGGCACTGCAGTGATTCGATGGCACCGACGTAGACGTTGATCAGCTCCTCGAAGCGAAGGATTGCGTTCTCCACTTCCTCCAAGCCCTCGCGGCCACCGGCTGCTGCCCACTCCACATCGTCGTCGCTGTCAAGGCCCTCGATCACTTCTGATGCTTTGGAGATCCAGTTGCGAATTTGTTCAGCAGCACCGATAAGAGCGCGGGACGCGGCCTGGGCGGTGGGAATGGCAGAAACCTTGCTGGATAGTGACTCTGCGTCGGGCAGCTGCAACGATGTCAGCTGCGCGAGCTGGTTGGCAAAGGAGACACGCGATAAGGTGTAGATAGAACCCGGTCGCTGCAGGCCCAGCGGGTTGAAGTAGGAGGTGGCATCAGGATTGAAGTCGGATTGCGACGGCGTCTCTGGTGCCGCCGCCTGCTGCTGCTGATGTTGTTGTGTGAGAGGAGGGGTGTCTTTTGCGGGAAGAGGTGGCGGGATGTCGGGACTGGCGATCCGGACGGACGAGTTTGAAGAGGGATTGGCAGTTGAGTCGCGCTCGATGTGCTGTTGGCGCGTGTCGAGCTGAACCTTGGTGCCGTTCCCATTGGTGTGGTCAGGCAGGCGATACTTGTTTGTGTCCATATCGAGTGGCTGAGTTGGCGCGATTTCGGGGAGAAAAGACGATGCTGGCGAATGAGAGGCCGTATCAGCGTTGCTCCCGTCCGGTTCCGTTACGACAACAATTGCGGTCGCCGACGTTGTAGTCGAATCAAAATACGGATCGGCGTCGTCCGCGTCAGGTTTTTGTTTACCGTGTCCTGTAGCGAGATTGGCGACAGACGCGGGGAGACGGGCGACAGCCGCACCGGCGCCCTTCCACGGACGGCCGCGCCGCTCGATAACAAGCTGTGAGGAACCGGCCTGATGGTTCTGGTCGATCTGGCGGATTTGATCTTCGGGAAGGCGACCAATTCGTTCGGGGTGATTGGAAAAGGCTGGCGCTGGTGGCTGGGAATTCTTTCGCGCAGTCGTACCAAATCCAAGAGCCTTGAGCCGGGCCGCGAGGCCAGGCGACGGCTTGCGAGGCTGGGGATGCTGGGCGGGAGTGGTCGACGACGCGGACGACGCGGTCGAAGGCACGCGAGGACGGCCGGGCTCTGGAAAATCGCCGGCACGATTAGCGCTATTGGGCGAGAGGTCGTCGGTCGGTGTTGCGGCAAATCCGACGCGACGTGCTGGGCGCAAGGGCGAGGACGAAGGCGTGAGCAATGTGGGTTGCGCCAGCGATGCTGGCGATTGTGTCTGTGTTTGACTGTGAGGTTTGAGAGGGGTGGTTGAGGCGGCTGAGTCGACGGGAGCGACTACGTGGGTGTCGGTGTCGGGCATTCGTTGGTGGTTGAAATTGAGACGAGCGAGATCGCTGGGTATTTCGGCAAAGGTTAGTACGGAGGAAGTCGCACCGCCATCGCGGGTGCTGCTGCTGCTGATGCTGCTGTTGTGGCGGTCAGAAAGCGTCTGAGCAAGGACAGGAACTGCAGAAGATGGCTGCGGTGGTTGGGATTGGCTGGGGATGTCGGTCTGCAGGTGGAGGTGGCCGCCTTCACCTAGGGTGCTGCTGGTGACAGCTGTCACAAAAGGCGCAGAAGCCGCAGAAGTGGCTGCATCTGCAGGCCTGGATGCAGGGTGCTGGAACGGGACGGTGCTGCAGCTGGGTCCGTACTCGTACACGTCGGCGACGGGAACGCCAGGGGCAGAGGCGACAAAGGTGGTTGTCATTTAACCAGGACGAGCCGAGCCACCTTTCGTGGAGGGAATTGATCCGCCCTCGCCTGTTTGGCAGCTTCTCCTATTTTTGCCCGCAACGCGTTGACCGTGAATTGTGCCAATGGCGGGAAAGGGGCTGGCTTGCGCGATGCTTTTGGCAGTTATTTCGGATTTTCCTTTTTTTGATCCTACTCGTGGTGCGCAGCAGATCTTGTGCGTCTTGTGCGTCGTGAGCGTCGTATTGTGCGTTACGTCGTGGGATCGAGAGAACGTTTTTGTCCGTGGTTCACTGGCTTTTGCAGCGCGTCGGTGGATTTGGGCAGCGATTTTCGTTGGGGCCTGTTCGATTGGGTTCCTCTTTTCCTTTTCTCTCTCTCTTGTTTGGCGGCTGCCTGTCCGTTGGGCGATGGAATGCAGGCAGGACGCTGCATGTGCAAATCGCTAGTCCACGCTGGGCAGGTAGGATAAGCGGCGTAGAAAACTGCTGGAAAATTGTCAAGGAAGCTGGCGAGATGGCAGCTGTTTTGGTGGGTTTGGAGAGTTCGCTGGACGGTCAATCAATAGCTAGAGTTTTGGCACGGCGGCAAGTTGAAGTTTGAGTGGACAGTGCAGTAGCAGGACGCAAGAAAATGGAGAAAGCAGGGGCGTTGTATGGGTTTGCGTGTGGCTAACAGGATGCGTGCGAGTGGTAAGATTACCGCGGACTTGGGCAAGGAGAACGAGAAAGGTTGGAAGTGAAGTCAAAACGCGAGAGAAAAAGACGACGCGATGAGAAACAGAGTTGGAAAACGCGAAAAAGACAGAATAGGAAATAGGCAAAAGAGCTCTTTCCGAGACGGGCAAAATTTAGTCAGGACGAGCGAAGGGAAAGAGCAATGGGGGCGAAGGGCGTACAAAGGAGAAAAAGGGAAAGCAGCACAGCAAACGCAATGTGCGGGAAGGAGCGCCCAAGACAAACAGCCCACACAAGCAAGGCAGTACGTCCGTATTAAATCACAGACAAAAGTCAAAAAAGGGTAACGGGGGAGGAGAGAAGCGACCTCTCTTTGAAATAAAATTGTCTACGAAGGTAAGGGAGGTGCACCGCTTGCTATTCTTCGCCGCAGGCGGATGGGCGCAATGAGCTGGCCCCGGGGAAGAAACGAATTACAGGGGATCGTGATTGATTGGGAGCGTCACCTTTACAGTTATCAACTGACGCCAGTCGCGGTTGCCGTGAATTGAGTCTGTGCGGTGGTAGGTGGCAAGAGACGACTAACTCATATTGGCGTAGAGAGGAAACAGCGATCCTCATCAAGACATGCATCAACAACAAATAACAACAACAACAGCAGCAGCAGCAGCAGCAGCAACGCTGGCTGTGATGCAGATATGGATCGAGGCAGCCCACATGCACAGTATTATTACAGCGACACAAGTACGACATAAGGACCGAGGACATTGAAGGCAATGGAGAAGGGAGGAGGGTCTTAGCCGGTTCTTAGCACAAGTCAAGTGCAGAAGAACAGCAACGCTGGACCTCATGGAAGGGAGAAATGAGAGATACGACGTACATACGGACCACAAGGACCACAAGAACCACAAGGACAAAGTGACCAAGGGGTAAATGCGATTTCGCAAAAGACGGCGGACTGAACGAATGCGGCTTCGCCTGACATCCACTCACTTCTCATCTTCTCTGCAATCTCTGCGAACAGACGCTCGTCCCGGCACTGCAACCGCCCCCACTCTCTCGTTTCTTGGGTCGAGCCTATTATTTCTATGAGTACGACGTTGTGGCTCCGTACTCTGGTTCTATGGAGTGCCAGTGAGGAACAAAGGAAGCACAGACCAGCATCAAAGTTTGGAACGAGCTCAATACATGTACATGTACGCCTTCGCTCCAACCCGTCGAACGCCCAAGTCCCCCGACAGAACGTGTCCCCAAACACCTGCAATTTCCTTCTGGGTCTGGAATACAACCCGTCCAGGCTCCGCAGGGAACCGTGCCGATCACGTCCACTGCGTGAGACAGAGCACAGGCCAAGTCCAAAAGTGGCGACTGATTTGATGAAAGGGACCTCTTTGGGTCTAGGGGCAGGTTCTCACGCCTTGGCAGCCGAGTGGCATGGGAAGGAAGAGACACAGCAATGTTGGTACGAAGTACTCCCTTAACTGGCAGACAGATGACATTCTTTCCCCTTCTTTTGATGACTCTCCCGTCCCACGCATTTTCTGTCTACTCCCACTCTTCCGTGCCGCAGTGCATAAAGTTGCCGGCCAGCTTCACACAGAATCGAAACAGGACAGTCCTCGTGGCCAGTGCCGGCTTTCAACGCCATGCACGCCTGCACTCCTGCACGCATGCACGCACATGCAGGTACGGATTCTGGCAAGACACACACCCTTTCACGCTGCCGGCAGCCAATGTGATCCAATTTGTTCCCAGACGGTATTAATATCCTACTTATCGAACTGGCCGCGATATATGTCGTATGCGTATGTTATACGTTGTATGCCGTGGCCCCTATACATATCAACGAACAGTGTCTATTCTCGTAGTGCATATTGCCGGCTGGCCTCAGCTGAACCCTCCGTTTCGGAAGTCCTTCCGCAAGCCTGGGATGCTACCATGTACCCAAGCTTTGTCCACAGCTTGTATTCGCATGCCAGCTTTCATTGTGACACCAGCTATCGAGTGTCAGTTTGAGGACTTTTCTTCACAGTGTCGTCCTTCATTGAGAACTTTTACTTCAACTGGGAAAAATGCCATTTCCGCCACTACGTCTCCGTGGGAACGACAGCTTGTGCTACTTCTTGTGTCATGCCTATCAAAAACAACAGACCCCAGACAGCCAGGAAACATTGAGTGCAATGTAATTTGTTGCCAGGAAGAGGCAGAGTGTCGCGCCCTGAACTTGCGACTTTATGACGGCCAGCAGCAGCCAACTGCCTATGCACTGAATTTGCTTCTTCATTTGGTTTAGCGTGTCGTTTTAGGCCCACCTGTTCTCCACGGAACTGGGCGCTCTGTGCCGCAGCTACTCATTAGCGGGCGACTAGCGGCTGTTTAGACGGAACGGCCGCTGGAAGGCACAGAAGGCGCTTGTACGTAAAGTGCGGCAGTGCTCTGTATCTTTCCTGCTTACTTAGTGTATAAAATACAGCATACAAGTTAAATACCAACTGCCTGTTGCCCTGCAATCCCCCGTTTCTCCAGCAATTCCCATCAGATTCCTCAACAAGTATTCTTACCTAGCTGTCAACACCCACTAGTAGCCGTCGGCCAGCGCCTTCCAGCGCAGTCGGCCTTCGCCAACCGGAACAGCACTGGTCAAAACAAACCCCTGACATGGCGTCACAAGTAAAGAAGGTGGGCGCCCAGTTAGGAAGGCATCGCCAGTGCATGGCTCTGTCGTCGCACCTTCCTCGCCAATCGTTGTGTTTTTGTTGTTGTTGTCCCACTGTCTTGTTCTTAATTCCCTTCCTTCCCCAGACGGTCATCCCCTCTTTCCTATCATATCGACACCATTTGCGCTTCACTTCTCTCCATCGTCAACTTTCTACATCTCGCTCTGTAGCCCTCTGACAACGTTCGGCCCTTGGCTCTCGAACACTGCTCCGTACCCTGGCTGGTGCAATTTTAGCTAGCACCAACTCGCCAACATCCTACGAGTACTCCGGCCAGTCATTCGTCAACGACCAACGGAGCTTATCAAGAGTCAACAAAGACAGCAGAGTGAACTACGTCGACAATCATCCGGATCGTCAAACAGCAGATACTGAACGAGATATATCTTACGTTGTACGGTTGGAACCGAAATAGAAAGAAGACAAAGAACAGGGTCGCGGACTCATACGTCGTAATACCCTGCAAACAGGAGGAAAAACACGAAAAGCCAACCCCAGAACCACCAAACGGAGCTCATTTTAATTACGGAGCACGCCTACACGCCTGCACGCCTGCACGACTGCGCGCCCACGCACCACGCCTCTCTACTTTACACGAATCCATCCTGCCCCTCGCCACCGTTGCATTCGGGCCCTGGTTCCCCTTTTCCCAAAGCTCGCTCGCCGCCTATCCGTACGGCGCACGCCGCAAGATACTGATTCTGCTCGCGTCTCTCGTCTTTCGCGTTTTCTGCCGAAAGCCGACTTTCCCTCTTTCGAGCTTCACTTTGAGCTTTGCTTTGTACCTTGTCCACGACGTACACTACGACGTACACGGTCTGAGTGCCTCCTATCCCTTCTGCATATAGCCATACCGATACACAATACCAGGGCGCCATAAACTGCCCCTTCTGTTCCAGCAGAACCTCACGTCTTCGGTTCTTTACGCTCCACGTTGCACGACGTGCCGTCGTTCGCCATGGCCACCCCGGCGCCACCAACCATCTGCCGGCCCTCGTCGCCGTCGCCTGATACCGTCCCAACGCTCGCTATCAAGCAGGACGGGGCGGCAGAGGCACTGCGCTCTCTATCGACTGCCTCGTCCATGTCCCACGGATCCGCCACCACGGACGCTTCGTCGCTGCTGTCCAGCGGTTTCGGGGCCCGTGATTCTCTAGGCAGCGATGCCTCGTCGTCTGCCTTTAGCCGCCACTCGTCGGGAAGCTATTCGGCCATGTCGTTGTCGGCCTCCTCTGCGTCCAACCCCAATCGCCTCTCCGTGGCGAGCACAATCACATCGAGCTCAAATACCACCGCAAGCGGCAACCCGGGAGAACAGCGGGCCACCAAACGCCGCGGGTACATGCGGCCACAAGGCACCGACTTTGCTGCCAGTGCCCGCTCGCGCGAGAGCGTGCTGAGCCTCGGCAGCATTGCCCACTTGCAGCACTACTTTGCCCGAACAGGACTGCTCGACCTCAAGGGCCAGCTCGAGAGGAAGCGTCGCGGGGGCAAGGCCCGGACGTTTGATCTGTCACAGTTGGAAGGCACAACCAGCTACCTGACCCCTCGGGCCCAGTCCATGCTCATCCAGCCGTCGGATGGCTCCACCGGTGGGCTCGCCGCCCAGTCGGACGTCGACTCGTCGTACGCATCCATGGGAAGCAGCCCCGATCTTGGTGCACACGGCGGCGCGAACCACGGCATGATAGTGGAGTCGCCCGTTGAAGAAACCTTCAGCGACGACTGGTACCCCGAGGACTTTGAAGGGGCAGACCCGGCTGTGATGCTGCCGCCGACTGTCAGCACCTACATGTACCGCGAGAAGCCACTACCGAAGCCGCCCACCCTCATGGAGCTGCGGACTGACCTCAAAAACTCGCTCGACAGTGCGTCCAAGGCGCTCGCCGAAGCACGGGAGGCCAAGACCAATGCAAACGCGCCTGCCACGCCAGTGTCTTCTGCGCCGTCGTCACCAGCCAGACAGCCAAACGCCGAGACCGCCCAAGCCAAGGCCGCCGCAACAAGCTGGTACGAGATCCAGGGCATGCACATTCTCGATGTCATCACGCTGGCCATCCGCGCTGCAAAAGTGTACTATACGAGCCACGAGAACCCTGACCGTCTCGATGCTATCAAGTCGGAGCGCGAGGTGCGTTCGGAGCTGCTGGCCGTCATGGACGTCCTGAAGCGCATGGCCACACGCAACTTTTCGGGCGGCGTTCGCACCGAAGAGATCCGCGCCATGGACTCTTGGATCAGCAGTCTGTATACCATGCTAGACCGTGAGGACGCCATGGTGGCAGCAGAGCAGGCGGAGCAGGCCAGCTGGACCTGGCTGAAAGATGCCGACTGGCCTGCAGATGCCGCCACCGACCCGGCCCGTGCTTACGCACGGGAGCGCGCCTTTTTGCAGTCGATCCTCGCCAGTGGATCCGCACCCGAAGACAAGATCGACACCGTTTTGCCCGAGTGGACGCCGATGGACCGAAGCAGTGCTGCACCTGCGCTTGCCACCCCTGCAGACGACGCCACGCCGACGACACCGACGACGCCAACTACGCCGACGATGCCCGCGGCACCAACGCCTTTCCTGCAGCATATGCAGAACGGGGTGTGCCTGATCCAGCTGCACAACTGCGCTGTGCGCAAGTCACGGCGGCGTTTCGGTGCCATCCCCACCTTCCATGCCGACACGCAAAAGCCTTACCGGGCCGCCGACAACCTTCGGTACTGGGTCAAGGCGGCCGAGCTGCGGTGGGAGGTGTTCTTCAAGATCGACGCCCTGGCGGTCGCCTGCAACAGCCGGCCAGACGTTTGGCCTGTTTTTGAAGATGCAATTTACCAGTGGTGCCGAAAAGTGCGCGAAGAGATTGCGTCCGAGGTTGTTTAGAGGAGCCTCGCCGCTACAGATTTGTCTCAACTACAGCCGCATTTCTTGTTGCACTGTTTTTTCTTGCATATTTCCAAACATAGCCTGCATTTCCTCTTTTCTTTTTCTTTTCCACCCATCCTTCTTACTACTTTTCTATGGGACTACACTTCTACATGAATCTGTCGCCCGACACATTTATACCCTATTCTTTTTTTTGTTCCTTTTCACGTTATTTACTTACCATCTCGGCATATTTCCTGGCGTTTCTACCCCATTACTTTCTTCACTTTCATATCCTTCATATTACAACCAGCCAGACGCATGAGCGAGCCACTCATTTTGTATACCGTTTCTGGATGTCTTCTTCTGTTTTTCTTCTCTTCTTGGCCCCTATTTCCACTTACACCTTTTCTTGGTACATATATTTTTGACTGCTTCTTGTCATGTTTGTGCTTTTCTTTTCTTTTCCTTTTTTGGTACCCTTATTTTTTTACCACTCTGTGAAAAAGCACTAAACCAGACTGACCCATGACCAAATAGCCAAATATGCATATAATGAATATTTAAACTTGAACTGCGTATAAATCAGAATCTGCCAAGAACCAAATGTGACTGTTAAATATCAAAACAACAAATTACAAAAGAAATTTGGCGATCAGCGCATCAACTTCGGCATCAATACGGCCCTCCTCCTTGTCCTTGTTCGGAGTCCGCCACGTGGTATGACAGGTAAGTGCACTGTAAGGGTGGAAGGCCAGACGCATCGGGTCGACTTTCTCAGTGCGACCGCCATTCTGTCCGCTCAGGCCGCTCTTGCCCTCCTCTGTGTCCGATGCCGGCTGGACGAGTTTCACCGGATACCGCTGGTTCTGGTACCCGTGGCCGACCCGCCTGGCCACGTCGTTGGCTTCGTGAAGGCTGACCAGTCGGCGCTTGCCCTTCTCGCCCCGAAGGAACCTGTTCACCGCAGTCAAGGTTTCTTCTGCCCGCTTCAACGCCTCGGGCTTGTTCGTCGTTATGCGCGTCGGTATGGGCGCCTGCTCGCGGCCCTCGTACACCACTGCTGTAAACTCCTCGGCCTTCGCCGAGGGCCACTTGTTCACCGTGAGATCGAACATTCTGGTATTCTCGCGCCGCTCTGTGACAAACGATGCCAAGAACACGTCTTGGGCGACCTCGAGCGGCGTTGCACCAACCGCGTTCTCGCGGTATAGGAGGCTGATGGCAAGCTCGCGCGGGATGGCTTCGAGCAGCGCCAACATAAAGTTGGGGTTCTTTTGCTTCCGGGCGAGCATGTGCATCACCGTATCGCCTGCACTGTCAATGATATTCAGTTCGCGGCCACCCGAGCGCGAGAGGAGAAGTCGCATCACGGCAATCACCTCTTCATCGCTTCCGTAGTCGTTGGCGGGGCCGTATTGAACATTGTAGCCGCTCGATAGCGTCCGCTCCAGCCACGCATGTAGGGGCGTGCGGCTCTCGCTCCAAGAGGCGTGGTGGGTGCGCTCGCAGAACATGCCGTCAACGGCGTCCTTGCCCAGAATATCCAGCAGCCTCTTGAGCTCCGGCGCCTTGGGGCTCTCAAAGAGGGCCACGTGTAGCAAGTTCGCGTATGTCGTCTCATGGCGTTTGGACTGGTCGGCGCCACTATCAACAAGGATCTTAACGGCTTCGAGATGGCCGAACCTCACGGCCGACAAAAGGGGGGTCATACGGTCCTCGCCTCCAGCCGAGATGCTGTCGGGTGCGACTTTGAGGAGATACTTGATGACGGGGAGAGCTTTCTGAGCGTCGGGACATGCCATGGCTTTGTTGAGTGCAAGGTCACCTTGACTCCAGGTCAGTATCACAGCTATCATCAAAAGGAGAGGAATATTAAAGGAATGAGAAAACGCACTGTTCTTCGTCAGCCAGCGCGAAATGGCACCCTCGAAGCCACCAGGCGCTTGGCTCAGGTGTGTCAAGCGCTTGTCGTCCCGCGCAGCCTTGGATGCGGTGAACTCGAGGTAGCACCGCAAAGGAGCATCGCTGAGGAACCACTCGATGGATTCCAGACAGCCCGCCTCTGCGGCGAACAGGAGGGGCGAATCTGTCATGCCGGTCGAGCGCGTCACCGTCTTGCGCCCGGCCTCGGCCCAGTCGCTCCGCTTCTTACCATAGACCGTCAGGCCCTGGTAGTACTCGGGCGGCTCCTCAATCTTGATGCCTGAGTCCTTCACCATCTCCTCGAGGGGAAGGCCGGCGCCGGTGCGTTTGATCACCTCGGCTAGCATCTCGACACGACCACTGGTCACGGCCGCACGGAAGTCGCTGATGGGAAAGTTGTAGTAGCTGCTGCGGGAGTTGCCTTCCTTCGTCTGGGTAGCAAAGTGGGTGGCCGTATCGAGGAGGAACTCGAAGCCCCGCCGGTCGTTCTGCTGGAAGACAAACTCAAACAGCGATCCACTGGAAATCTTGTAGTCGGTAACCTTACCGTCTCGAACGGTAAATGTTGCGACAGACTTGGCCAGCAGGTCAAGTGGTGTCTAAATTCGTGTGGGTTAGAGACAAAGGGAAAGGCCAAACAAAAGACTTGCGCAAAAGAAAATGGAAGGCGGCGCAACTTACAACGGTGCCCTTAACCTGCATATTCACCTCGCCAATGTTGTCAATGGTGAACTGGTCGTTGTCGACAATGATGCGGTACGTGCCGGTCTCGTCCTCTTCGTACTCGCTGTCGCTGTTCATGCTGGTGTCCTCGTCGTCCGTCTCTTCTTTCATCTCGTAGCTGACCCTCTGCTTCACATCCGAGGAGTACTGCGCCTGGGTAATTTCCAGAATGGCTGTAGCGACCTTGTAGTGGCCGCGCAGGAAAGCCAGCGAGAAGGCGTTGTTACTCTGTGCGTCGTTGACGGTGATAGTCAGAGGCTTCTGGGACTTGTTCTCACCCCAGCTACCAAGCGTGAGCTGCTTAATGGTGGCCAAGTCGCCGTTCCACGCAGCCTCGAATCTATTTAGAGTCAGTAATGACAGAATCGAAAAGTGAAAAGAAGCATCGGGGATGAGGAGAACATACAGCTGGACATAGCCACAACGGCGGCTATAGGTGACATCATTGACGCCGAAAAACTCCGGCACAAACGCGTAGTTGTAGTCCTTGGTGGACTCGACCGGTGGGACCTTGTTCTCGTAGACACGCGGCTGGCGAGTTGTTTCCAGTATCTTGGCCTCGATCTTCTCCAAGGTCGCAATCATATCCTTGATGGCAGCCTTCTTCTTCTCCTCGCCATCGAGCTGGTGGACCTTTGCGAGAGCATCGTCATGCTTCTTGATAATGTTGACCACATCCTTCATGGCCTTTTTCAGGTCGCACAGTGCTGCCACGTACATCCAACTATCCTTGGACAAAGTGGCCAAAAACTTTTCAGGGTTTCCAGACACCTCGAGGAGCGTGCTCTGCTTGGGAGTTTCGTTCTTGTAGCCGCGAAGAGCTTTCAGGGAACCGCGGACAAGGGCCAGTGCATTATCGACCGTTGATAACCGGGACATCCACCGTTGGTGGTCTTTGGCGTGTCCGTCCTTGGTCTTGGTGTCCGGGTCCGCGCCGCGTTCGAGAAGCTCGAGGGCAATCTTCGGATTGGACGACCGTAGAGCGACAATCAAAGGCTGCTCGAAGCGCATGTTAAAGGTTTTGTTGTTCTCTTCAAAGGAGCTGAGATTGTTGCCAAAGGCAGTCGATGCCTTCGCATACTTGAGCCAGGTATCGAAGTCGATCTGAGGCGGGACACCATTTTCGAGCAGCTTGAGAGCCATACGGACATTGCCCGACGCAATGGCGCACAGCAGAGGGCTGGCCGAATACCAGGCAGACTGGAAGGAGAGGCTATTCATGGCAACGGGGGCGCCTGTCTTGTCGAGATCCATCAGCTGCTGCACAAGATCCATGTCGGTATGTTCAACAAATCTGTGGAAAGCCGTGATGCCGTTGAGGTCGGCCTGTGCGCAAGTCGCGCCTAGCCTGAGTAGTGTGGCGGTCATGGACTTGGCCTTGTCGACAGGGAGAGCCAAGCCAAGGGCCAGAGTAAGGATGGCCGAGGAGGGCTGTTGGTTGTAGGAGTTGAGCAACTTGACGGGTAGCAAAACATCGGCGCCGTACTCCTGGCAGAGCAGCTTCACGACCTCATCGTGGCCGTTGATGATGGCAAAGTGGAGGGCGGAGCAGGGGCGGTCCCACGCAATGACGTTGACGTCGTAGAAGTCGGGTTCATCGTCGGCATCGTTCAGCGCAGCGTCGCCACCAAGGTCCTGTTTGTCCTTGCTCTTGACCTTGACAAAGGAGGCGGTGGTTACGGAGTGTACGCCGTCGTCAGACACCTCGTCGTCGATGAGCTCGCCATCAGAGTTGTCATCGTCCACGTCTTCCTCCTCCTCTGAATCGGTGTGCTCACCCTCAGACTCTTCGCCCTTCTTCATCTTCTTCTCGGCGTCAGCAGCCAGTTTGGCCTTGCGGCGCTGGTTCTGCTTTTCATCTTCTTCCGCCTCGTTCTCAGTGCTCTTGTCCATGAGAATCTTGACGATCTCGATACTACCACGCTGAGCCGCCAGATGGAGAGCAGTTCTGCCGTCAGCGACGCGGGAAATGAGTCGAGCACCGTGATCGACCAGTTTCTTGACAATGGCAGGGGAGGACGTCATGACGGCCAGGTGGAGGGGTGTGCGGCCGGTGTGGTCGCGTCTGTTGGGGTCCACGCCATCCTGAGCCAGCCAGTCCTCGACATGCTCCAGGTCGCCGTCAATGATGGCCTGGCAGAGACGGGCCGTGTTGCCAACATAGGCCATCTCGGTCCAATCATTGTCTGTCAGGGGATTGAAAGAACCGATTTGCTTTGAGAGGTTAGTGTGAGTGATGAAAATATGTCCGTTTCTGCGGTTGGAAGCGTACCTGCCGGCCTGGGTCATCGGTCACGAAAGAGATCTTGCCAGAGATGTACGTCTTGCTTTCCTCCTCTGCAACCTCCTTCTCCCTGTCTGTCTGCGGCTTGGGGCAGAAACAGCAGCAGTCTTCCATGACATCCTCAGCACGACCGAACTGCGGTAGTCAGCACATGCGTGTCAGGCGCAGTCTATCGCCCTGCAAAGTATCACTCACAAAGGCGGGGTGTCTGTGAAGATAGACCTCACGGTCCTTCTTCTGATTCCACTCTGCGTTCAAAACTGGATGAGGTCAATCGAATGGTTCGCGAGCAGTTGGTACTGGTACTGTAGCATATGGTCAAAACTCACGAAGGTCGCGCGTGTAGCACAGCTTCTCGATGCGCTTCGCATGGTACTTTCGGCCATACGGAAGGACAAATGTATCATAGTTGTTGACGTCGTCCGGAGTGACCCACTCGGCGACCTCGTCCTCGTGCTGGTCCTTGATATTGCCGAGTTTGCCGTGGAGATAGTGGGAATTGTACAGTGGCGGCCGGCCACGCTCCTGGCGGCGCTTCGTGGCATACGACTGGCGCGAGTCAGCTGTGGGTAGACGCTCCAGCACAAGAAGACGTGCCAGGCCGAGCGTGCGGTTGAAGCTGCGCTCAAAGATTGTCGGGTCGACGCGTGAGCGGTCGAGGTCGCCCCAGAACACCTCAAAGTTGCGGTGGCTGTACTTGGATAGACGGTTCTCGTACGACGGGCTGCGGCGTGTCAGATCGATATGGTTGATCTGGGTCATGTACGATTGCAGGGCACGCGGCGTGCAGTAGACCTGTTTGCCATCGTAGGCGGCACTAGAGCTGTCAATGTCGAAACCAGCCAGGATTTCGGACACTGACTTGTAAATGCGCAGGACAATCTGCACGTGGCGGGTCGGGTACTCGCTGCAGATGGTGATGGCGTGTTTGGTGCGGACCGTGGTCGTCTCGGCCAAGATGGAGTCGCGGATGCCGGCCTCGATCTCCTTGATCTTCTCGATAGCCTGCTCTTCCGTCAAGCCGTAGAGGAACAGATCGACGTCGGACGCCGGGCAGAATTTTTCGTGGTAGTACTCGCGCAGCGACCGACGAGACTTGCTGAACTCGTCCGGCACGGGCAACAGGCAGTTGACGACGGACGAGCCAGCAGCCACGACATTCTCCCAACCAATGTCGGCTAGCGACGACTCGGAGAAGACCGCAAAGTTGCCCTGGAAGGCCTCAATGGACGGCACAACAGCCGGGGAGCCGTTGGCCCTGCGGTTCTCCTTGGGCAGAGACATGATGTACTTGGCCTTCAGGTCTTCCGGCTCGGCATTCGTATCACGGGCCCGAATCTGCAGCTTGGGCGTGTCCTCCGTGAAGAGCGGCAGCACATTGACATGCGGGTCCACGAGCACCGGGTGGCCGGGCTCTTGGGCATACAGCTCGCGCACTCTGGCCTCATATTTGCGGTAAGGCTCAAACAGCTCTGTCATGGGCTTGTCTGGGTGCTGCTCAAGATAGCTCGGTAGCTCGGCATGCGGCGCCGGGATGGGCGGCAGCTGAAGGAACGGCATCATGCTTGATTTTAGAGGAGAAGAATGGAAGTGTCTGATGATAGAACGTGCAAGGGGGTGCGGAGGTAAAGGCAACGACGTTTGTTTGATGTTCGATAAGAAAGCAGCTCTGGAACGGCAATGTCAACAAAACAGACTGCAAATGCAAATAAGAAGTGAACGGGGTGATCCGAGGAGCGGGGAAGAGGTAGACGAAGATAAAGGAGCTGCTGTTTTTGAAGTTTATGTATATTTTTAATTTTATATTTCAAAAGAAAAGACAAGAAGGCGAGCCAATTGGGACAAGAAACACAAAAGTATGGCGAAAGGCAAGACTCTGACGCAATGCCGTGTGGTAGAAACAAGCAAATGATTTGGTAAAGATGTTGCAAAGATGTTTAAACTCACCGATGACAGTGTGCACCAAGACACAACAGGAATTGAGCTGGCGGCCAGGACAAATATATACTTCTCGAGAATCTCACCAGTGTCGATGAAGCGGATCGAACCCCCTTCTGAGCCGTGATATGCTGGGAACAGGGGACGCTGCAGCCTAGACGAGGGAAGAGAGGCGAGGTCATTGGATTAAGAGGACAAGCGGTCAGAATGGATCCCGGCAAAGATGAAGAAATGGGAGCTAAAGTAGGGGGGAGAAGGACATGTGTAGTTCGTGACTATGTTGGCGTTTGCACTTTCCCTCTTTGCCATCTGATTCCTTCGAATGTCGTCTCGGAGCCGTTAGGCAGATCAAGGCCTGGGCGGAAAGAGCACCCCACCACTCCCAGCTTGAAAGTGATCCTTCTGGAGCTTTCATCGTGAAAGGGGAAAGCGCGGCTAGCTGAACTTTCAAGAAGGAACAGCCAATATTATTTACTTTTTAATTTTTTTTTCTTTGTCTTTGTCTTGTGTAGAATGTGCCAAAAAAAAGCTCGCGTCGCACTTTCCTCTTGTGTTTGTTCACGGAACAGCACCTCACCACTTCCTTCCACAATCCGGCTTCCGATTTACAGGAGGGGGTCTGCTGCCTGTGCCCCGGTGTTGGAACAGCATCACGTGCAGGCAGCAGTCCAGAAACGGCATGCCCAATTGACTCAAATTAGATAAATTGTGCTATTTTTCGAAAGTGCTACACGACGCTCTTCAAAGGAAGACCATGATGATGTGAATTCGTACGGCTGTGGAACCAGCAGAAAGTTAACAACGCGCAGCGTGGCTCTGGTTCCTCACTTGGCTCATTTTGTTTCGCGCGGCGCGGAGGCGGCGCCTCGGCGGCTGATTGGATCTTTAGAACGACTTGACCTGTCAGAGAGCTGGGGCTTTCAGGCAGTGCAGGCAGCAGAGGTGGAGCCTCGATACTAAAGCGTCACATCGTCGTCACTCCCTCGTACATGTATGTTGTCGAACTTTGCGTGGAGAGTGGAGGCTACGGCGGAATATGCCTCGCGAGTTGGGACGACGACAAGTCCTAGCTGTGGCTTTGGTGCAAATGCCAGCAGCGTTGAGTTTCATGGAGACTTTGCAGTCTATTCTTTGCAAGGCACAACATGGGTGCATTTTTACCCGACTCGGCGTCGATGATGGCGGCGACGACGGGATACATCTATTTGTAAATATACAGCTGCCAAAAAAGGAGACAGGACAAAACACCGATGCCCGACAACAGACAAACGGCATGCGGATGAATAGCATGCAAGATGAAAACCATGAGAAAGAGAAAACAGAAAAACAGAACGCAAAACAGGCAAAACAAAGCAAAATATGGCACGTAGTAACCGCGGACACGATGGCACGGATCCACGGAAGAGATCATATGAGGAGCCGGGCTTTCAGGCCATGCGAACTCTGTGTGGGATGGTCTCCATGGGAGGGCGTCGACGGTGCCCTCAACTGTTCTCAGATATTCCCGGTCCCGATCCCGGTCCCGACCCCAATTCCATCCTGATCCAGGAGGCTCTCTCCGACTCCAGCTTTATATACACACACGCGTGGGTCGTTACAGCGCAATCGCCCCTCGCCGGTTTTCGCGTAGGTGCAGCAGTCCTTGGAGACCGCAGAACACGAGGAAGCCCTGGAGAGATGGGTGAGTTAGCAACGTTTCAGCCAACGAGAGATGGCGAGATGCGGCTGGAGGCGGAAACGAAAACAACATACGGCATAGACCAGCACCGCAACAAAGATCGTGGCAGCGACCTCGGGGCCGTTCTCGGGATCGTCGACGCCACCGACCATCTCGTGGTGGTTGGCCCGGAAGAGCAGGCCCATGATTGACAGGATCAGGATGGCGAAGACGGAGATGACGACGCTGGGCAGTTAGCATCATTTGCGTATCGCTGCCATGTTTCGTTTTCCTGTAGCTACTTCCGCCCTCTCGCAGCAAGAGAAACTCACCAGGACCATGCCTGAATCGCGCCCACGAGCGGCTTCATGATGAAAATTGTGTCGGAGACGGGCGGCTGGGCGTGGAGGGACGGTGCCTGGTAGGAGGCGTAGTTGGACGCAGACGACGCGGCGGCGGCGGAAGAGGTGCGCTGGTAGAGCCCTTGCCGGCTGCTGATGCTGCTGCTGGTGCCGTGGGCGGCGGATCGGTCGGCTCGGGCGGATCGATCGCGTAGTTCGATGCCGCTGTTCATCAACGAGGTCGGGGGTTGTGTGCCCGTCGAGGACTGCCTCTGTCTCTGGCTCTGTCTCTGCTGTGGGAAGCCGGCGGTTCCAGAATGCGACGTCGAGGTCGATGGCGACGAAAATGGCGCTGTGTTGTTCTGCGGTGTCTGCCGGCGACGTTGCATGAGGAATGAAAACGAGACAGGCAAAAGAACGAACAGTCGATCTCGCAATACGAAGGAACTCAGTAGCGCTTGCTGTCGGCGGGCTGGGTCGTCTTGGTGTGGCAATAGTGCGCTGCTTCTGCAGTTGCAAACGGCGCTTGTGGCCGGAGCTCTCCTCAGTAACGCCAGCTGTAGCAATAAGGCTGCCACTGGCGCATTTGGCTTCAAGTGCATAAACGGGGGGCTTTGGCGCCTAGATTATCAGGCCCCAGTTTCTAGTCTAGCTGTGTACACGTGACCTCGCTTGTATGGCGTATTTTAGGTGGTGGACGTACCTGGGGAGCTTGCAAAATTATGGCGGGAAGGCGCCTTGGAGCTGCGTAATTGCACTGTTGTGACGTTTTGTGAAGTGGTGATGCTTCATTGTGCTTTGTCCTCTTTTCTGCAGTAAAGCACCCCAGCGAAACACAGCTCACTCTCAATAGGGCTATATCAACCCTCTGGCCGTGATCGGGCTACGCAGGCCACCCGCTGTCGAGAGTGTACGGTCTCATGCCGCCCTGACGGCTTTCAGCCGGAGCCAATACTCGACGCCATTGCACCGGTTAATCGCGATTTCTACCGAGAGAGTCTTGATCGTCTACTCATTTCCAACTGGCCTCTCATACCTTTTTTACTTCTATTTTTGGGTTGTATTTACTACTCTTCGACCGAATTGTGCACAATGTTTGAGGTATGTCTCCGTGTCAGGGTGTCCCCTGGCTGCTATGCGTTGTGATATTTCCGGTCGGGGCCTCGGCTGACTCTCCTAGGCACTGTATCCGCACCCCGAGGACCGGCTACAGCTACGGCTGCACCGTGCCCGGTCGGTGATCCTGACCTCGGAAGAGTGCGTTTGCGTGCTCACCACTTACGCCGCGTATGATTCATGAAAACGAGCTGCTGACATTGCCAGACTTGTTGAGATCCGTGCTGCCCAGCGCACGTTCGAGGGTGCCTACATGCGCACGGCGCTGTCGCAGTTCTCCTTTGCGCTCGTTGTTCTCAAGATCTTTACTGCCGAGTTCTATGCCATTGGCGCGCTCTTTGCTGTCTACGGCGCGGCTGTCATGCTCGTTGCCATCTACCGCCGGTACGAGGGCAACCGGCAGTTTTTCAGCACCCAGGAAGAGGCCAAGGAGGAGGACAACAGCCATGGCGACTACTACGACGAGACGGTCGACGGCGAGCAGCCGGGCCAAGCAAGCACAACAGGCGCGGCCCACCACCTCCACCAGCAGCCGCACATTACGCACGCCGGCCACCGCAGCACAGCCTACACGCGCATGGTCACGAAGAAGAAGTTCCGCACGAGCGGCAACAGTGTGGCCATGTTGAGCTTGTTGAGCATTTCTGCGTACATTACGTTGATTGTGCTGCTGTGGCGGTTGCAGGACTGAGGAGGCACGTAGTCAGTGTGTGGAGAAACAGTGCCACCAGACCGTGGGCAAAAGTATGACGTTATGACCTTGTATGATACTTGAGACAGAATACGACTTGCATTCTCAGCGTGCGAAGCAACAAGCGATGAATTGTTGATCCAGTTGTTACACATACACGCTGGTGCAGTGCGGCATCCAGTGATCGCAATGAGGCCTCGGAATTATAAAGAGTTGATTGGAAAACTCTTATGTTGTGTTTGTTTCTATGCTTCTTCGTCTTGGGCTCTCTTGTTCTTTGCAATACAAATCACTGACAGATGTCTCTTTTTTCCATCGTTGGTTGGCTACGTTTCCAAATGTTTCTATACTTTTCACCTGCACGTCCATATCCTGATGCTATGACGTTTCATCATGTCTATGTCATGGCGCGTCGTCTCCTTCGCATCTACCCAAAATGGACAAGTCATGTATGCGGTGCCGTAGACTGGCTTCAGTTGGATACTCCTTCTTGTGTTGCAGCCATCCATTTTCGGCATCTCTCGTCACGCTTCGAGCAAAGGAGAGCAAGCAGAAAGCCAAAAATAGTAGCACGAAACGAGGTAAACTCGTTTTCCGAGTGCAGAATAACGCTCCCGATGCCGGAGACCCTATGAGGGGGGGGGGGGGGGGGGGAGAAGGTTGTTGGTGTGACTGCCTGTCAGTCTACTGTGAGGCATCTCGCGCGTAGTGTACGCAGTGTGTAGGTCTTACGCACGCTGTTAGGAACACTGTGAATGTGAGGCAGTCGTGCTTTGACGCCTGCGATATATCATACGCCTCGCCAACTATAACCCTCCGCAGGCCACAACCTTGGTCGAGCGTGTTTCTTCGCAAGGGAACGTGAGAAGTGAGAAATGCTCACCGTGGAACACAATGTTTCGATGCCTCCTTCTGCTTTGATGCTGTCCCGTTTAGCGTTTTGTGGGCTCGACCGCCGCCAGGTTCCAACGCGCCCAGGCGCCATAGCCTCTGTGCGAGCCATAGCTCGGCATTGCTTGTTTTCGAGTGTTTCTCCTTGATTTTGTCCAGTTGATCTGGCGACTGACTGACCTGCTGAGCACTTTTCACCTTGGCTGGCAGGTCTGCCCACCATGCAGGGGCGACTAAACACACCCACTCTTTGTCCTGACCATACGCGCCCTTCGCCTATCGGGCACGCAACCGGGAGTTTCAATAAGAGGGGAAGGCCTGTCCGTAAGAGAGGCCACAGGGAAACGAGTGTTTGGGGGGAGGGCACACCGAGCTCTGACTGGTGAACTGTGGAAGAGAAGAGGGGAAATGCACGGAGGACTGGTCGAGGTACAACCATGGTTCCGCATCGCGAGGGCCGCATCCTCCGGAACCGCCAGAGCCAAGGCTGGGCATTCTCTTTTGCCCTCCCACTTTATATTTATTTTATTTTGCTCGGCGGTCGAGGCAAGGACCGGACGTGACATCGCCGGCACCCGTTCTGCAACCCCATTTTTGGTCGTTCCATCTGGCCGTTCCTGGGCGAGAAAGAATGGCGTTGCTCGTCGTTTGTCGGAGACTGAAGTTGTGTAGGTCTGGGTCTCGTTGCTTTTGTCGTCCTTGCTTCTGTCGTCCTTGTTTTCGTCATTTTTTTATCTTGGGAATTAATGATAAAACAGAAACCTACAACAAAAAAAGAAGAAGAACCCAGCTCCCTGAACTCATACATCCCTCTTTCGGATATGGTACGGCGACTACCGAGGCCGAGATGAGCAAAGGATCCCGATTCGCGGCTGATCCGGCCGGCAGTCGACAAGGCCGTGTGGAGGAGCGGGATATATTGGGGCAGGGATGTGAACAAGAAGGTAAATTATTCGGGGGCAAAAGACATGCAGAGCCTCATCCGCATTGTACGAGGAATTTGAATTTAGTTCTTGTCGTGCGTTCTGTATTGACCGTGGACAGAGACCAGTTGTGAAACCGTCGCGCAAAAGGGCGAGTTTTGAGTTGTGCATTCTGAAGACAAGCCACGTTGTAAGAATAGTACAATGGCTTGACCGGTTATGCGTATATACAAGTAAGGATATATGTCCACCTAGTCGAGTCGTTCGAGTTGAGTGTGCACACCTGCACAATATTACTTCACACGACTCAATAACTGTCAAGACAACGCACACCGTTCGAGTTGATACAGCCAAAAACGACGAAATCCAAGGAAAACCAAGGATGTCTGGAGGTGCTCGTGTGAAGAGACGTCGATCAGAAGCAGGCGAGTCGCCGATCTGCAGTCTGAAAGCAGCCTGGATGCGTTCAAGTCTGGTTGCCTTTCGTCTGGTGTCTCTGTGGCGTGTATCTTGCCAGATGGTTCATTTTGCCGACACAGGAGATCTTCTGCGACTATGCAGCGGAAGCTGAAGACAAGGCCCTCTTTTTATTTTGCCAATAATAAAACTGAAAAACCCAAGCTGCGCATCATCCGTGAAATCACAAGACTCAACTTGAGATGAACGACTTCACATGTGTTACAGTTTGGGAGAGCACTGGTTTTCTTGATCTGACGGTGTCCCAGACACTGGTCGATCGTTCGTGTGTAGGTTGATTTATTTATTTATTTCAGCCCCTCCGACACGAGCTGTCATGCCCTTGTCAGATGGCCGGTCCGTCCATGAACCGAGCACTGCAATCTGTGAACGGGCCCCGGACGGCCAGGTTTGGGTACAACAGTCGGCAATGAGCCGAGACGTTTATCAAGGCTTTTGGGCTCGACGTGTTTGGGAGGCTCTCGGCATCCAAGCCGTTTAAACAAAAGACGATGACCACAAATGGTGCATTGGGGACGTCCTAGGCGATGAATCTTGCACTGGAAGGATACATTTGTATATACACTTTTCGTTTAAAAAAATAAAAGGAACAAAATGACAGCGCAGAAATGGCCATCGTTGATTGTCGTATTCATCACTGGACTATCTTGACCTCACAGAGACGGTCGATTCACCTACCTTCTTAGAAAAAGGAGGGTGGAGCCGATAGAAGCTACGGAGTCCAAGCATACAGCGTCGCAGAGTCGGATGATGGACAGTCCGGTGGAGAAGACTGGCGCTCACCGGTATGGACACCAACACCCCCCCTGGTCGTATTGACGAGTGGGAGACCGAGATGGCAGGGATTCACCCTGGCCCCAGCAGGCGAGATAAAACGAGGACAGCGGAGTAATAATTCTAAAATTTATCCTACGGAGCAGCGAACCGGCCAGGACGAACAGCCGGCTCCACGATGGCTGAGAAGGGGAGAAGGAGAATGCTGATGTGCAGTGTCATTGGCAGGCCTCGACAAGGAGCCCTGTCGCTGGATGGCAGGCAAGCATGGACCAGGCCTGGAGCGCGCGTTGCACAGACGTCAGTGCGGGTAAAGCCAAAGTGACAGGTCGGAGGCAGATCGATGTGTGGGTGCGTTGGCCGTTTTGCTCTTCTTATTCTTCTTTTGCGACGTTTCTTTTTTGGCCTGTGAGCACTTCTCCAATTTATTCAGTCCACCCACCATAGCCGCCGGCTCGAAATATAGCCCTCAGGAGAAACCGTCCTGGCTACCGAAAACAAAGTGCAGGCGGCGTGA